CTAGGTCAGGTCATAACTTGGGTTGCGTTCACACCAACATCTAGATAAACAGAAAAACGTTAAGGAAGTTGATCTTGGTGATATTATCGAATAAATAAAAATGTTTTTTTTCTTTATTCGATAATACCGCCAAGATAGAAAAAGTCTGTTGTTTTTTAGTTTGCGAGTTCATACAGCTGTATTTATGAAGTAGATTTTTTAAAGTCGGCAATATAAAAAATAATTCGTCAAATTATTGCCTCTCAATTATTTTCCGTTTTTAATAAGAAAGACTTATTTTATTCTGCACAAGTGATAGATACAATAGCTTTATCAAATTTCTAGGGTTAGCCCTATAGACGATACCTTATCCAGCATCCCCCACACAGAAAACGGGCTAACTCACACATTATTAACTGAATTTGATACAACTTTTGTGTGTGATCCGTAGCTATTCACTGATCGTGTCTATGTGTGTGTTTGGGAAAATGGCTGCTTTGAGATGAGCGCATGCGTAGTTATGCCAACTTGTTTTTCGTGTATTATACTTATGTTAAGCGATTTTAAGTCTTATTATTTGATAATCAAGGTACTAATATTTCGACACAGCTGCATAAATAAGCTGACTTTCGAAATTCTGTCTTGGGAGAGGTAAAGAACACTTCTCGTTGCGTACCGGGAAAGAATTGCGTTCCACGCTTCTGCGATTTCCACGTCTACCGTCAACTTCTTTGAATACGGCTTAATTAATAAAGATGGAGGTTTTGAGACGTCTGGAATATGTCAGTTGCTTTAGTTTAACTATAGTGGGCTTTACTACCGTAGACTTTAAGATATTATCGTTTGTTATATATTCTTACTGTTTGGCACCTGTAATAGCTACTGTATAATTATAACAAAAAAAAAGGGTTTTTTGAAATTATGTGACCTTTTAGTTTTTTTTTGGATATCTGACGTCAAAAACAAAAAAAGTCTAGAAAGAGAGATTGTCCATTCAATCGGACAGAGTCACCCCCTGGGCAAGCTGACCTGAAGGGATTCCTGTTCACGCTTGTGTGGGTCTGCAGGAGGTGTCGGGTTTGCTGGTAATAGCGTCCGGCGGTCCTGTTCGAGGACGATGACGGTAGCTACTGGATGTAACTCTCCATACTTCGGTCAAGCGGATCGTTTACCATAAAACGACCCGCATGGCCGAACCACCTAACACTAGAGGAAGTTTTGCTGAATATCATATATAGACTATATATCAAATTTTTATAAAACTAAAAAAAGGGTGTCCAAACCCTTGTGTTTATTATTAACTCATGGGAAATTTTAATTTCCATCTAACAACAGTTTGTTACTAAGGTTTTTCGAGTGTCCATTAATGAGGAATAATTGAGTGGATATTCTTCGCTTAGTCGATGAATGCGTAATATGTAATGGATGCCAAACGTCGATTTTTTTAAATAACAAAGTCAAAACAGCTCAAAAGTACAAGTAGCTTTGTAAAAACGGATACGATTTCCTTAGAATAGTCTGAAATAGATTTATGTATTTTTCTATTCTGTAATCAGTATCCAACTATATTTGCTTCACTTTATTCGCTAGATACCCTCAATCGATCGTAAAAATCTAATATTATTTTCAATATTACGATGAAAGACATATACGAGTATAATGATGTAATGTATGTATTTGACAATTGCATATAGTAGTAAGTTGTCAACAAGTGTTTAACCCTTAAACTCCTAACAAAGCATTAGAGGTAGAACTCGTTAACGATCCCGAGAAACCTCGATAACTCACAAGTTTCCAGCACAATGGGCAGGTAATACAACTACGACTTTTGGCCTTCTAACACAATACCTTTTTGTGCGATTATTCTAGAAAGTTTTTTCTTAATCAACTCTTCTTATTTGGATAAGTACCTCTTAAATAAATGCCTTCTAATAATAAAGAGCTGAACAGTTTGTTTGAACACACTTATCTCTCTCTATGGTTCGAATTGAAGAATTATTTTTGTGTTGGAAAGACCATTTATCGAGAAACGCTTTAGCTTTTAACGCTTTTTTTCTTCGAGGGCTTCTGTTGCGTGCGCTGCAAAACGGTTCAAGAAACCAAAAGACGTGTATGAAAGAATGTTTTAAAAACTGTCCTTGACATTATATTTCTCTATCTTGTAAGACTAACCTCCAAGAACCGTTTTATGGTAATCAAATTGAAAAATATGGTAATTAGTTATATCAATATAATAATATTAATCTTGTAAACAGCAAAACAACAGCTACTTAGTACCTAGTAGTGGTTTAGTAGTAAATGAACGATACAGCTTATTTTTAGGTAACACCTTAATTAATTATTTAGACCCCACATCAGAGCTCTCTTCTAGGTCATATTTAATCATAAAAAAATATTTTAGTTTTGTGCTTTGTAGGGTATTTTTATGAACGTTCAGTAATCATTTCTCGAGGTTTTTTCGTACTCACTGCAAAGAACGTAACTTTACTATGAAGTTTAATGACACTCGTGAGATCGACGGATGTTCACCGCTTCTGATATTCTTTATTGTAAGAAATATGCACACGCACGATTTATCAGCGCTCCATCAAAACCAGCTCAGTATATATATATATATATATACAGGTTATAATAGTACTCAATTAAAGTGTTATGTCCTGTACCTAGAGCAAGAGGATTATCATGCATACAAACACAGAAATTTATATCTAAATTTCCAGAAAAGTGCAACATGTCTCAAAATGTTTAAGCATTAAAAATTTTAATTTTCATTTAAAACTTTATTATTTTTTACATGTTGCACATGAAGGCACTATATAATTTAAAATCAATTTAAATTTGCCATTGAATGCATCGTTAGCATTCCGTGCTGTTGCTCTACCAATTGAGCTACTGAGTCCTACACGTCATCGTCGAATTTTTTCAACTTATTAATACATACACCTCTCGCGCAATGTAATTTCAACCTTAACAATTGCGAATTAAGGTTCAACGTCTTATGCTTTGCAGCTTAAGAAATCATTGAAGATGAAATTACAAAGTTATAACGTTTGAAAACTTTGAACCGAGTGCTTAACGTTTTCTTTATCCGACTGTACGGTATATATACCTGTATTTACGCGTATAGTACAGGCTATAGACGTCCTGCGAGTATCCAATTAGTCGTCCGCCAGTACTCAGGACTTGAGCGCCACTTGACAACCGAAACTAACATTACTACTCTTTCTTTTATGTCTGCCGCTGTTTGTTTTTTTTATCTGCCTAATTGTACGATTTTTAAGTCAATATCTTCAAGCGCCACTTTTGTTAACAGAGTATCAAAAAATAATACTGCTTCCTGCTTCCATAAATTTTCTTAAGTATTTAAGTGTCTATGAAAACTCAGTTACAGAAAAATGAGGTTTACTTCGTAGTAGGTGAAATTCCCAACCTCAAAAATGCGTTGTCGACTTTTTGCTTTGGATATTGAGTAATCCACTGACTAACAGCAAAACGCGATTAAATTGGACGGTTTTCCATCCATTACGGACGGTAGCGGCTTTGATATTCTTACAATCCACATTTCCAGACGAAGTCCAACATGGTTCAGAAAAAGATATAAATTCACTGGAAACACGTTGATCTCGGTAGGGATCGAACCCACGACACGATTTAGCATTACACTACTAGACATTATTACACCAAAGACCCCGTGAAAAAAATCCTATATTTTATGTTCGACTTTAAAATAAACTATCAATGTAGCTTTACGAACAAATAAAACAAGGTATTTCTTTTTTGTTTAATACTTAAACACATTAAAATATTTACAGAGTATATCGGCAGTGACATTTGGCAGAGTTAAAACAATTAACATATATCCTATTGAGCAAAATACACAATGACTAGACTTGCCACTTAAAAACAACAATTTTTAATAGTTTAAAATGTAGATAAAAACATGCGATGTCGTTCCTATTATTAAAAGAGGCAGGTGTAAATAAAATTTAATCTTAAACAAAACACTTTAACTGGAGTCTCCCCATGACCACGGCTGCTGCAAAGCATCCGAAACGTCGGGCCGTAGTTAAAAATAATTCTCAAAAGTTTAATCAAAATATATCACGTTTTAAACCGTTAAAGTGTTTTAATTAAATGTTTACTCGCGTAAACTACAGACAGTATTTAACATTTTTTATTAGTTTGAAAATCTTCAATCGTTTTGACTAAGAGTTTCAATCCAAAAACACTGAAACCTGAGGAATTTACTGGAGGGAGAATTGTTTTTATTTTGTTTACATGTTACACTACCAATGAAAAATATATATTAGTTATTGATGTATACTGTACGCAATTATAATCAAGCCTTTATTTAAATGAATATAGTTGAAACATTTATACCAGTCATTACTAACAACGCATAATTCAATAAAATAGGTAGAAAATAAAAATAACCATAGCCTTTCCACTGTGTCAGAGCTTAGTTTTTAATTTTATTAAAATACTTAAATTACAAACACCATTGTGTATCAAAAAAATAGTTAGAAATTTACAATTTAGTACTTTTATACAACGACGTTTACCTTCGTCAATATCCGAATAGGCCGCGAATAATTCGAGTCAATATTTATAAAAAACTTTAAAAATAACATTTCACCTCTCAATACTCACCAGAAACGTCAAGTTTTTATGGTCATAATATTATATTTTGATAGACCTGACTGTGTATGAGATAGTTTAACTGACTTACATCTCTTTTAATCGAATTAATTTATTTTTTTCATTTGTCTTTGAAATGTATACATTATTGTAAAAGTATAAAACATCCATTTAGTTGTTAGTCATATTTACAACGAGAAATATCTCAAATCCTTTCCATTGCGGACGTTCAACAAAGTTGCCATTTTTAAAACTTTAAACTATCCCGGTGGGTATCGAGAGCTATAGATCATCCATTAAAAACGAAGTAATAACATTAAGTCGTCATTATTTCAACTATCAATAATTTTATCTAATTGCTTATAGCAGTCTTTATTGTCGCATTACACGTGAATTGTAAAATCGCGCCTCTCTTGCTCCTGCCGTTGTGGGTATCTGAGAAAAACAAAAATTAATTCAAACAGCGCCATCTGGTTACAACATTTGTAAGTATTATAATAATTTAAAACTTTACAAAGAAATGCACCAAAGGATAATGCCTATCTCTTAAATCTTTCTTTTAGAATTCTAGAGAGTATGCTGTTAACAAATCATATAAGCACGTCAAAAATTAGGTTTTGCATAGTACATTTGATAGTACAGAGATGACGTTTTGTGCAAAATTTTTAAATTCTAGTGGCGGTAGTACTTGCCTTGTGGAATTAGGCGTGTGTCTACGAGGTCTTCTTCTCGCTTTATCTCTTGATCCAGACGTGCACGACTCAGCGCTAGAATCCGTTACGCCTCGAAATACCTCCTCCGCTGGAATACATGATGACATAAGCATTATTTAATATAAGTACCTAATGTATTCTGCGTAACCTTATATTTACAGCCTTTAAAATCCAATTAGAAGAATAGTACTAAATTCTTAACACTAGGCGGCAGAATCAAATAACACTCTTCTGGTAGTATTTTCCGTGTTTCCATCTTTAATATTATTAAAATACTTGACAATTTTGGTCACCGGTAAATTATAGTACAAATGATTAATGAATTTTTAATTAGTTAATAGAAGAAGTGGAATTACCACTTCTTCTATTAACAACTTTAAGTAATTTTACTATGTATTTATATGTAAACCCACATCTTTAAGGTAAATAGATTACCTTAAAGAAGTGGGATATAGAAATCAACAATGTATGAAGCTAAAGTTACGTTCATTTGATTATTAAAATGATAAGAATACTTTTTCACAATAATTATCATTGAAAGTAAAAACAACAGACGACAACGAGTCAACATCGAATTTGAACCAACGTTCTTCAATATAGCCAAAAAGGACAAAAATCAAAACAAAGGACGATCCATACGGTACCATTGCCATACTTGCACTTCTTTCAGCTACAAACTATGTATTTTTTAATTTTACCTTTGCTAGGGGCGACACACATCCTGTAGGAGACGCTGGAGTTACACTCGGCGCAAGGAGACCCAGATGAATCGGAATCCGATTCCGTTCGACGCACCATCAACGTCATTGCACGAGACAGGGTGTATTCGTCTAGAAGCAAATAGTAACATAGTTGTAACCAAAATAGGAATATCAAATCAACTATACTTCTTACAAGTCATAACCCAATCTCATTTAATTATATAATTGAATTAAGTACCAGTAAATAAAAAAAACTTTTTACAGCTGTAACGAAATGTATATTTGAATGTAGAACTAATGTAGTTCGCCTTTTAACCCTTCAAAAATATTCTCTATGCGTACCATAAGCATAAAGTACAGATATTTTTTATGATTTCCCAATTTCGAAACCTAAAGAGGAACAGTAGTATAATAAACTTGATACCCCACCATATAACCGAGACGCGTTAAAACTTCACGGCTTTTACATATGTCGGCGGTGGTTTGTTCTTGGACGAAGTTACAATATTCGTACCCCGCTTTTAACATCATTTTGGACCCGATAGGGATCAAACTCAAGATCTGTTTCTGATTAGAAATACATTGCTACCATCAGACCAATGAGAAGATTACCTAACAAACCATATATGTAAGAAATATCCAATTCACAAAACAGTCTACACAACACTTTAACGGTTAAAACGCGATATATTCGCTATATTCGATATATCGCGATAACGCGATTAGTACACTAGACTGTATTGTCACACTGTTTATAACTGACACTGTCCCCGTGACCACGGCTGCTACAAAGCATCCGAAACGTCGGGCCTTAGTTAAAATAATTTTAAAATATGTGTAACTAATATATATCGAGTTTGAAACCGTTAACGTGTTTTATTTAAAAACTACTCCCTCGAAATTACAGACAGTCACCTGAGTCAGCTGGATCTCGATGCATGTGCCTGTTAGTAGGAGGTGCAGCACTAAGTGGGGCGGGTTCAGCTCTCCCGAAGGTGCGAAGAGTTCCACTGGCACCAGTTCCTCCGACTGATGCGCTTCCCTCGCTGCACACTGCACCACTCGACATACTGAACGTCGCGTATGGACTAATTTCGTACATCTCTAAAAGTAAAAAAAAAAGGTTTTGAAATCAATTATCAAGCTGTGATTAGATATTATTATATCCAAAAAAGGAAATTTGGAAATTCTATTTTAATTTCCCAGCCGTCGTAGTTGAGAAATTATTTCGTTCTTTCTTAGTGGAGGGACGGAAACATCTCGTGTTGATGTCATCTACTCAATCCAAGTAGCTTTTCAAAATGATAAGAAAAAAAACAAACTATATTTTATACTAAAAATCTCTACCGATCTGGTAGAGATTTTTAGTATAAAATCCACGCAACCCACGAAAGAAATAAAAGTTTATGAAAAAACGAGATGTGCAAGATGGCCCAAAAAAAATATATGATCTTTAAAATAAAAATGTCAAAACAAAACTTACACACAATTATTAAACTTATCGAAAATTATTAGACTTAACATATTAAAAATTAAACTTAAAATATTATGAAACGAATTTCATAAAAATCCCGATTTTTCCTTACTTTTTGTTCTTGTGAACGTTTTTGTATATAAATCTATATAACACAATCTTATTTAAAACTAAAACCATCTTAAAATTAATGTAACCTTGTTGTTCCTTTTTGTTTGACTTAATTGGGGATGAGGTGTACACCTGTTGGCAGTTCCTTCTGTTGTCTCTCTTTTCCACTGATTTTTCGTCTTCAGAAACACTGCTTGGCTCGTATCCTTTGTTGAGACATTTCACAGAGCTGCTAAAAAATAATAGTAAGCAGAATAAATATTTTATATTGTTTTTACCCATTCAACATTTATATTATTTAAAATCCAAATCTGACACTAAGACTTTTTAGAACAGTACAGTGAATATTACAAACCTTCTTTTATATGCAATTACAGCTAACAGCATCAAGGCAGTGATAAATGCAGCGCCTGCAGCGAGTAGGGCTATCCCATTTCCCCCACTCACCACGTCTTCTCCACCGGATGGAAACTGCGCGGGCGCTGGAATACGTTCTACACAAATATATTAATATAAAATTTATAAATATTAACACGTAAAAAATAAGGTATATAGCAAAGAACCAACATGATTACGGTATGAAATTCATTTTCTCCCATGGAGCGTGGAGCGAATACATTGCTTTGTTCGTTTTACTGATCGATTTTATATACTGTCAAAATTGCGCCTTTCCCGGCCGAAGTAATTTCATATCACACAAGGATTCGAACCTTAACCTTTTTCGTAACCATTGATTTATAGATGCGAAACACTTCTGAATATACCAAATATGATATACACATTTTTCAGCAAACAATATTTTCTTTCCTGAAACTGACCTCCACTCTCAGTAAGCGTAGCAAAGTAATAAGTGGCTGTTGTGACTCCAGCAGTTGTAGTAGCCACCACTTTTAGATGATACCAGGTTGCCGGTCGCAACGCACACAGAGTTATAGGTTCTGCTTCCAGTCCCACGCTTTCCGATTTCCAAGAAAACTCTTCAAAGCCACGTATGGATATGATGAAGTGGATGAGCGGGCAACCATTGCTGTCCCAAGTCAGGAGATTGAGTTTCACGCAACTGCTATTCGTGCTGATCAATTGCTTTTCTAACGCCGCTTTTGATACTACAAATGTTAAAGGAATAATGTTATTAAAAAATAATTGAAGTGTTCGTAAGTGTTCGTGTAACAGTTTCCAAACGTTATTTGTTTCGTATTCTTTTTGTCATTACAATAATCTGCTTAACAATAATTTTAGCAAATAAAACGTTGTCATACAAAACATTGACAATCGTTAGTCGTCAAAGTGAAAAATGGGCGAAACGTTGGTTGGGAAGTGATAATCGGCTAAACAATTTTCGGCGAAAAGGCAGGATCTCAGGCAGGACCTTAAAGATATACGTGTTACAACTTAGGCTGTACTTTCACAATAAAAAAAACTTACAAGCACCAGGTGTTGCTGTATGCAGCACATCACTGTGTGCAGAAGCACCTGCGTCGCCATGTGCACGTAACCTAACCCGGTAGTGCGCGCCACAAGCCAGACCTCGAAGTGCAGCACTACGAGCCGATCCCCAAACCCAACGGGATTGCCAGGGACCGTCACCTCTAGCGTACTCTAGGCTGTAACCTAAAATTTTCAGAATTTATTTTAAACAGCAATTTGTATCATGCTTTACAATTTTTCACAAGGACAATTTAATTTGTGTCTAAATCAAAAGCTTCGCTTTCAGCAACAGTTGTTTTTTGTTAATTTAGTAATTATATTTTGTCCATTAATACATTGACAAATTATTTTTGGTCTTTATCCTTACTATGTGCACCAGATGAATCCCACGCTAATAGCAAAGCTGTGGGCGACGCACTGGTAAGACGCAGACGGGGTTTAGATGGTGGACTGATTGTAAGCAGCTCCCAAGTGCCATGGTCTTCGCCCCAGCGGTTCCGGACAGTGCAGGTGTAGTTGTCTGCTAGAGACGGCTCCACTTCTGTAATATTCGGGTTTTTGCTAGTAGTATCTTTGTCCCAATTTTTCGGAATGAAGACTGTATCATCATAAGTACCTATATGCTTTTTGGTGTTAAAGTCAAAAAAGTTTACTTTCTATTTTAATTTTTTTCTTGAGATTAAAATACCATACCGAATTAAATAAAGCGTTTCCAACACTAATATGATCCAACTTTAGTAGAAATACTTAGGTAAGAAAGAAAAAAAAATTACTATGAATGATGAGCTTATGTCCATCAATTCGTATCCTATTGTCAGCATGTGGCGGTGGCGGTCGTCTTCTGGACCATAATCTCGAGATGGGAGCAGCACCTGCCGAAACACATTGCAGCACGACCGAGCTGTCCACGGGAACTGTCAGGCGACGCGAAAATGAACTTACTTTTGCTCCTCCTGTATCAAATGCATATGTAAAAAAGGATAAAAGTATGATCATAATTAAAATTAAAAGAGAACACATTGTTACGTCATATATATTTAGTTTGAGATAATATTTTTAGTCATCCAGGATCTATTTGTAAAAGTTTTAAGCAGAATTGGGAAGCACGGTGCCCTTTCCTCTTTTTACTAAATCTATTAATAATTACGAATATACGTATAGATTAGTTTATATATAATATATAAACTATATAATATATAAACTAATATAGAACGCTGTCGTCTGCGCGCTCATCTTAATTAGTTACTTATCGTAAGACAATTAAAAACCTTTGGAATTTGGTTTAGCAGCTACGATGGTGCTCATCTCGCCTTCTCCTAGCCCAGTGGCAGCGGTCACCCACAGCTCATATAGCTGTTGCTGCAAGCCATCCACCACTACGTGCTGCTCATCGCCTTGTTGTTTTTCAGATATCACTATTGACTCGCTTAAATGTCGACCTACCCTGAGAAGGCATACCATTACTTGTTTTTTTAAACATCGATATCATGGGTATTAAACATCCATTTGGGATTCGTTATTATTGCTTAATATACAGAAAAAAATAAATTCACAAATTAAAACTACCGTTGCGGTCGAGTATAGACTCGGTAATGGCGTATTCTTCCATTCTTCTGCATCGGTGGAAGCCAGCTTAAAATAACAGAGTCTTCTGTGTGTGGAAAGACTTTTACGTCTGCTGGTGGACCTGGAACTAAATACATAATGTCCTTAAAAAAGCAGCGACAAAAACTCGAGTTGACTCTATATAAAATAATTATGAATGATAATTTTTGTTTTACCGTGTCAGATAAATTATTTGCCAATGGCAATGCTTACTATCATCCAGCGTAGTACAGAAGAGATGGGCAGGCACTCCAAGACCAGCTGTTGATCTGGCAGCGACTCGAACGGAATAATTACCAGCACGAAGACCGGATAGTTGAGCCTCACCACTACCAGCTCTACGTCTTTCCCAAATACCGGAAGGCCTATCAACCGGCTAGAATGGAGATAAGATAGGCTATATATGCTATTTCATTTGAATTATATCTTTTAATACCATAATATGGCTTACCCTGTAGGATACTTCATATCCAATAATAAGACCTCCCCTCTTATCAGCAGGAGGCGGTTCCCACCAAACGCGTAAGGCCTGCGATGAGACTGCTTCGCAGCGGACGTGTTGAGGAGGGGCATCTGGGGCTGGAAACATTTTTAATGTTATTGACCGAGAACAAACTATCATAAGAATCTCATAGATAAGTAAATTAGATTTATTATAATAAGGATACTTAGCCAGAGAGTAACATTTACATTAAAAAATTCTTACAACACGAAAGTACTAAAAGTCCATTTGAAATTTTGGATTAAAAGACAGCAAAGAAAGTAGTGTTTTATTGAAGAAAGTAAATATTAACCATCTTCCAGGGTAGTTGTGGTAAGCGAGGCTGACGGAGGGCCAGGTCCAACCGAGTTAAACGCCCTCAATCTGATTTCGTATCTTGCGTGAGATCGCAAAGCGCCTAATCTGGCATTGGTGATAGCCCATCCTGATATAGATAGGGAGAGGGACGTGTTTTCGCCTCGGCACCACACCGCGTAGCCAAGTAGTTCACCATTCCATGACTCTTGGTTTGGAGCCTGATGATACGTTAAATTTTAATTATAATCGTCTAGGTGTTAAAGCATAGATACTTGATACAATTGACTTTCACAGTTATTATTTGTGTGAGTGGTATGTATATTATTATGAAAACTACATATTAACAATCTTGTTGATAGCAATTTAAATACTACAATCTATATCTATACTAATATATAAAGCTGAACAGTTTATTTGTTTATTTATTTGAACGCGCTAATATCAGGAACTACAAGTTCGATTTGAAAAATTATTTTTGTGTTGGTTACAACATTTATCTAGAAAGGAGAAAGGCTATAAAACGTCGCGTTGTGACTAGTAGAAGCGAGTAGTACAATATATAGTATAAAAATCTACGATAAGTATTCCTTTCATTTAAACGTTAGGAGATACTAAAATAAACATTTAAGTGACCTGCCATTTGATGAGTATTTCTCCTGGTGCATCGGGAAGGAGTTCAATACCACGAGGTGGCTCCGACGGTGCTGGAATCGAAATCAAGAAATAAACATTAAGAAAAAATAGTTTATACCCTTATGGTATTATTTAATTTATTATTTAACTTCTAACAAAACTTCTAAGCTATTAAAATAACTTTACAAATTTAATGTTGCATATGAACAGCGCGTCTAGTCTACTTCAGCTACTTCCACAGTGTTATGACATATGGCATGCTACTGTGGGGTAACGCTGCCGACATTGATTGTATCTTTGTGTTGCAAAAAAGGGATAGGATTTCGGGAGTCATTAAGAGATACCTTTAAAAATATCGGCATACTTACTGTGTACTGGCAGTATATTTATGAAAATGTATTGTATACCCATAAGAATAAAAATAGGTAAAAAAACTTTTTAAGTTAAACGGTTATATGTTAAACATACATTGCAAATTATCGAATTAATATGCGATAGAAGAATCGTTTCATTCGTCGTTAGTCAGACAATTGACGTGCCCCACGGTTTTATTTTAGTCTAATCTATGCATATGTTTATAATTCCCACGACTGTATCTATTTTATTATTTTTTGGTTTTTAGTACATTTATCTTAAACATTGCAATGTATGTTTAACATATAAGCGTTTAACTTAAAAAGTTTTTTTTACATATTTTTATTTTCCAGTTTTTAGTTTTTATTTCGCATTCTGTTTAATTCATTTAGTGTTTGTTGGTACTTGTTGAGACCTTTCATTTGATACCCATATTGATGAGACTGATAAAACCTACGTAATCCGCCATTTTGTAGCGGCCGCCATCTTGGATTTATAATGATAATGAATTAACATAATTGTATTGTCACCAAAATCCGAAGTGTATACAAGATTTCAGATTAATCGGTTAACAGGAAGAGGGTAAAATTTGAATCACTAAATTTGACCCAAGAATAAATAATAAAACAAACGGGATGAGCTAAATAAAACCATTTAATAAAAGCAAGTTCAGTAAGAATAGTGATAGGCATAATTTGAACTTACGAAATATGTATAATCTAGCTATCCCCAAATATAATCTCCATAAAATATCTAATACATTTGCGGGTAATTTTATTCCTATGTATAATACATTGCCAGTTGAGTTTTTAAATTTATCGATAAATGAATTTAAAAAAGTTTTAAAATTTCGATTGTTTCAAAAGGCGTATTATTGTCGGAACGATTTCTTTAATGACACAACCGCCTGGCAGTAAAATGAATTGCTCCTTAGCTTAATAAATTCACAACAATGTATTAGTTTATGAGAGATAAAAGATGGTAAAAAAGCCAGACTGAGTTTCTTGGGTGTTCTTCTCAGTTATGTTGCTCTTTTGAACACTATAGAATCACGACGAACAGACAGACAAACAAAAAAAAATTGACAAATCTAAATAGATTTTTAAATTTTAAAGGGAATAAAGTATATTTTATTTTATGATCTAGGTTTTATCCCGACAACAAAATATTTTTTGTGGCATCGTACTTTCATACTGTCTATAGTTTACCTGATTAGTACACATTTAAATAAAACACTTTAACGGTTTAAAACGCGATATATTAGTTAAACTTATTTGAAAATGATTTTTAACTTCGGTCCGATGTTTCGGATGCTTTGCAGCAGCCGTGATCACGGGAAGACGAAGATAAGGAAAGGGAAGATATCGCGTTTTAAACCGTTAAAGTGTTTTATTTAAAAGTCGCAATTTCACTTCATCTTGTTTCCCAAGCTTTGCACACTGCGCAATTAATTACAAGAAAATATAAATATTAGTTTCGAGTCCAGTTACCTACCTTCTTCCAGAGTATTAACAATGACAGAATCAGAATATTCACTGTCTCCAATGTCGTTAACAGCGGCCAGTCTTAGGGCGTATGCTGTGGCTGGCCTGAGACCTTCCACCCGATATTCCAATATCACTTCCGAATCCGGGTCTGCTGACTCTCGCCTGTAATAACGCATTTCTCTAAATAGCTAGAGATTTTTGAGTGACTCTCGGCTTTTGGTTTTAGCTATAGAGTGTGCTACACAAAACTCCCTCTGCAATATAATTTCCTTATCTCATTTGCAATTGTACCTTTGAGTTAGAGAGTCAGCGGGCAGTTCCCTGGTGGGAGCAAGACTCCAATCTGCTGCTAATTGCGCGTGTCCCACAACACGGTATTGTAGTCGAAAAGCGCGTAAACGGGCATTTCCGTCGAATCCTCGTCTCCATGCTACCACAGCTGCACGACCTTCTCGTTTCTTTACGGTTAGACCACGTGGGGCTTCAGGAAACTCTAAACAGACAATGCATTTTATTAGTACAACGATTAAAACATTACTTTAGATATGAGAATCAAATATACAAAAGTAAATTTTATGAGTATTGTGATTGTGACTTTCTTGAATATTTAAGGTAAAAATTGTTGTAATGTTCGTTTAACAAAGGCAAATGATATTGTTCATGTTTTGAAAGTACCTTGCACAGCTAGATAAATAAGTAATTCATCCCTTCCATACGCGTTCTCAGCGCGACATCGGTAGACTCCTGAGTCACGACGCTGCGCGTGAGCAATCGTAAGTTCAGAGCTCGCTCCGTTCTCAGATCTCTTCTCAGAAACTGAGACTCTAATTACAGATAATAAAAAATGCTTCGAATTACAAAAAAACTACGTCAGAATAGTACATATTAAGACTTCCATTCGATCGTATTACTCTAGTTATTTATATTTAGGTAGTTTTACGAGTATATTAAACATACCTGTAAGTGTTGAGATCTAAGGGTCTCATGTTGTGTGTCCAGTGCAACTGCAGAGGGGAATCCCCTCGCGCAGCGCAAGACAATGTGACTGATGAGGTACGACGAACTGACATATTTCGGGACGAGTATTCAAACTGGGCTGGCTCTGAAAGTTATGTATGTATATTGTCAGATTGGATCTATCTTCAAGTTTTTTGCATGTGTTTAAATTATTTTTCCAAGCCCGATTATATCAACGAAATCAAGAAAATTTGTATAGTATAAGATTAACTTATGGTTGTTATTCAGTTACTCTCTTTCTCACTTACTTTAGTAAGCCTAGAAAGAGATCTTTAGATCCTAAAGACTTCTCTAGACCATCGCGGTACGTACTACTAGACGTTTAATTTTTAAACTAAAAATGTATGTAACTACGATGGTATTCGTTAAAAATGAAGACTTTCGCGGGTATTATGGATATCATGCATGTGACTTTGAACCCTAATTGAAACATACAAAAATAATGATTAAAGAGTTCCTACCATTAACAGATACAGTGATGACCTTAGACAGTCCCCTGCCGACGCCATTATCCGAGCGGCACATGTACCGACCCTCGTGCGCCCGCGTCGCTGAAATAGCACTCAAGGATCCATTATTTAGTGCGGATATGGCTGCTTCCAGTCCTGACAAGGGGCGGAAATCGGGAGTATTGGAGCCTGGAAGTATATCATTTTCATTATTTAGGTTTGTAGTTATTGCTTATGCTTCACCATTAAGGTTTTACATTATTCCTTTGTCACACTCGTAATTCATTTTATATGCTGTTTGGAGTTCTTCATAAGTTTGTCTATTGTTATATGGACATGATTTTTGTATCGTGTATCGTTTTAATATAAAAAGGTTACAATATTAAGCACTTGTGTGTGTTGTTAACAAAACATGTTGTACATGTGACATGTAACCTACCGTGTCCTTTAAACCAAGTGACTTTAGGTTCAGGATAGCCCTTGGTAGAGCAATGCACCAAGATCGGAGTGCCAAGAAGAACAGATGCGTCTTGAGGTTCGAAGACCCACGTAGGCGCAACTGAAAGAAATATTTTTCTAAGCTTACTGCTCAATATTTTGGACTCCATATCAATATTAAGATTTGCCTCCACATATCCTTCTGATGTCAAATTCCAATTTTATATTTTTTAAATAATATATAACCTATATCAGATAATATATACCTATATAAAAACAAATGTAATAAGTCGAAACTCTTTTTAGCTATACCTCCCTTTTGAAGCCATTCTTTTTAAAACAAAGCTTCTACCATCTTAAAAATATAAGTTAATAATCACGCAGTACCTTTGACGGCAAGTCTAGCAGTATGGTTGACTTCTGAAGCTGAATTGCTGGCTACACACGTGTACTCGCCACTGTGCTTTGACGTCACGTGGGAGAAGATCAGGAAACTAAACTCGTCCAAGGATTTCTCCTGCACCTAGAAGAAGATATTGCACCATCAATATGACTTAAAATGAATCGTTTGACTATAAATATAGATTGTGAGCATACCTGTAAGTTTGGAGGTATTGTCTGTCCATCTTTAAGCCACGAGAAATAAACTGGTTTATCTCCCGATGTGATTCCGCACAGGACTTGAATGGAACTGCCTTCCACCAGGTCCGAAGGAAACGTAAACCCAGCTATTTTTGGTGGATCTGAAATAGAAGTGATTTATGGATCAATAAGAGTAAAGGATTCAAAGAAATTTTAACCTGAACACGTGACAAATCGGAACTATTAGTCGATTATATCGGAAATAGTAACATCTTCATAGTTATTTGTAGTTGCCAAGATGTTGGATATAATTGCAAGTAAGTAATATGCAACATCTACTAGTTGTATATAAAGAATTATTAGATTAGTAATCAGATTGTTGTACTAAATTGAAGAGTTTTGCATGCTGTAGATAGTTTTATTCATGCATGCAGTAGCTGAAACTCACTTCTAACAAATATCTGAACATCCTTCTGCGCGTAGTGTCCTTCTGGTGAGCTAACGCGGCAGGAGTATAGACCAGCGTCAGTCGGCTCGGCTGGCCACAGCAGCAACTCCCCTCCGACACCAGAAAGTGCTCGTCCACCGCTTGACGATATGTCTATTCCTCCGCGCTGCCATCGAATCTCGCTGTTGGGATATTAACTTGAGAATTGGCAATATGAAAATATTTTAATAAGAACATCATTTCTTTGTTGAAATCTTTATACAAATGGATTTTGACCTTCTTATGTTGTTAATTGACTGTCTTGTATTGTGTTTATTATAAACGTTTCAGACTGTGGTAATACGATGCATATTTTAAAGAGATAAGAAAAGAAAGTAGAGCACATACTTGCATGTAAATAAAATTGTTAAGTGAAATTAATGAAACTAAGTGATAACACAGTCTTATGTTTTTAGGGTCTGTAGGAGTTGCGTGGGCAACAAAAATTGGGCATCCATTAAGGTTTTTGGGGACTTTAATAGAATAATATCAAATTGTTTCATGCACTAATCGACTACATCTACAGAAAGAAACATAAATAAAACTTATAATTTAACCAAACAAATGCACCTCCATCAACCTGATTGGAAATCCTGAGTAGGGACAGAAGATGGTCGTGTTGACTCCCGCCACCACACGCACGGGACTGATGTTGCGGATTGAAGGAGGACCTACGATAGATAAACATTATACTACTTTTTGACGCACTTATTGGCCAAATGGTCGCTATATATTGTTAATAATCTCTCGCTTTTTTTGGAATAAAACGTCAAACATAGATCAGCCATATTTGTCAAAATAGCTTCGTCTTATAGTATCAGATTATGTTGATAACAAAATAATGTACCATATACATTGAGGCGCGTGGAGTGCTCGACAGTGCCGCGCGAGTTATGGGCCCGACATGTATAGCGTCCGCCGTCTTCCGGTCGCACCGACGTCAAGTTCAGATAACTCACGACATCGCCGTTTGGGCTCAGAAATTGCGTTATGCTTCTGTAATTTTTAATATGTAAAATGCATCGTTTCGCCTTCCAAAGCAAGGACAGAAGTGGACGCGAAAAATAAGTAAAAAATATCTTCCTTAAAGGAAAATAATTTTCTTCTGATATCTGGAAAATAGATTGCGTGGTTACGTGGTCAAAAAGTAAAATTAATTAAAAATGAAACCCCGTTTCCTCTAGCAAACGCGTTTAATTCTTAAGCTGTCTCTTAGAAACGTTGTTTATGATGATGCTACTCAACGTTTTTTTGGGTAATTAAAAAAAAAAAAAACGTTACGTATCCCAGACCGTCTCTATAGCTTAATGTTTAAACGAGTTGCCTAGCAGTGCGTTAAGCACAAGATGTCCTGGGTTCGAATCGGAGAGAAACAATAGATTACTTCGGGTTTCGTGTAGGGCACACTAGTCCGAACTTCTTGCCTGTAAACATAGAAATATATTCGCCCCATACCCCATGTGAGGAAAAGGGGTGGCACTGATATTATTGTTTGTTTTGTTTGTAACTAACCTCTGCGGAGTATTGTGTTCTTCAATCGGCTGCATATCCAGCAACCAGGTGAATCGAGGTGAAGGAGAACCTGATGCAGAGCAGTGCAAGGCCACTGCTGGGCCAGGGTGCAGCGCCTGCTCAATAAACGTGTAATGGAGCTCCGGTGCAGTGTCTGAAACATAAAATTGATATCATTAGCAAACACTGAACATTGGAAAGCTAAAATTAACTGCTGTCTTACTTAGTTGTGTAATTAATTCGGGCACTATGTTAAGCTAAGTAATAAAGTTAGATCAAAACAGTTAGTTTTAATATAGTGTTTTGATGATCACTTTACTCTGTAGCTATTTAGAAATAGTATGAAACCGTTTACTTATATACAAAGATAAAAACATTTAAAATCCCTTGGTTATGGTGGGTTTTAGTTTTAATTTTATACACTTTTATTAAACTATATTCCCTCTTAGAATAATAGATTTAACTAAAACAATTTTAACGGTGTCAAACGCGAAATGTATTACTTAATTTTGTATATATTGTAACCACGGCCCGACGTTTCACATGCTTTGCAGTAGCCGTGGTTACGGAGAAGTTAAAATACATTGTAAATAAGAGTTAACTAATACAGTACGAATATATCAAAAGAGTGCAAATTAAAATCAAATTCTTCAATCACATAACCTGGATATTTTAAAAGTTATTATTTTTGTACATAATTAAACGGAAAATAGTTTATTTAAATGTAACAAAATCCTCAAAGCCTTCTTCCTCTTCTACCTTACTCGAAACATTAAATTCCTACTAAGTATATAATATACGCTATATTATATACTTGGTAGAATTATTACGTCACTGACGATGAACAATTTACTATAATGTAAATAGTATTTTCTGTAGAAATAAAAGCCTTTTCGCAACGGAACAAATGGAAATAGATCTATAAATCAAGTGCGTCACAAGAGAATCCAATCAGAGTTCGCACTGACCTGCGTCCAGTAAATAAAGAACGGACAGTGATCAACGGACATCATCCATCATTTCTGGGTGATGGCTTTTAACAGCCGTGGAGGTGGATCGATCGATTGTGTGATTAAAATCAAATATGTAATATTTGTTCAGTTATGAAAGAGAAGTTATAGCACTTCAATGGCTAAGCTGGTTTTGATCGTAACAAATGTTTTATTTTACAGAGGAGTTCGGTCTGAATTTAATGGATAACTTAAATGTGACTTTACTTGATGGGTTTTGATTTTTATTTTTCTATGATATAGGAGGACAGATAAGCTTGGGGATCATTTAATATAGTTGGTAAAATACCCCAGCACTAAGATATCAAGACAACGTGTGCCGCCGACGGTGGTTCGTAGCCCGGGCGGAATTTCGAAATTCCTACCACCTACTAAATCTCCAGACGAAGTCCAACATGTTTCAGAAAACTTATAAATTGATTTGAAACATATTGGCACGGTGGAATTCCAAAGTGCTCCTCAAAATGGTTGGTTAGCTTTAAAACTACCGTCTACTAAATTTGTGATATCTGGTAACGGGTATCGCCCAACGCCCTAACGGAGAAGAATAATAGCTTATTACTTATCTTTATAATAAAAATATAATTTAATCTGTAGGTCAAGCCTGTTCGTAATATATGGGGTAAAATTTAGTACCAAGGGGTACAGACAATCGATGCGCACGCAATGCATCTGACACCGAGTTATGAGCTTGTATTTCATGTCTGTATTAGAGGACCTTTGATATAGTGCGGCCTATTAAAATATGATATTAAAAATTATTTAATTTTAGGTTAAAAATTATGTAAAAAAACATTCGTTTTAGCGTAGAAATAGAAAATACTATTTCACGATAGAGGCAGATAAACAATTATGTGCCCGTCGGACACTAATATTGAATCTAAATAAGACTCAATCCTTTATTATTTGAAACACTAACTAAATCCCTAACACGATGTTATTTTAAAATTGACAGTTGTCAATGTCATTTGTCAAACGTCAATGCCACTATATCGACGATACTGGAGTCCTAAATGTTATTTCCGCATAGTCCTTGTAAGTATTAAGCAAATTATCCGGTCAATTTGGTAAATGTAATAGATGCTAGCACTGAAATACGGTCGTCATGACATCTCACATGTCTTCCTTTGAGGTATAAAATTTCCACATCTGACATACGAATTTATAATTTATCACATAATTACCTAATGTAAATTATCTAGTTCATATGTTTCTATGTACATCTATACTAATATTATAAATGCGAAACTACTGAACCGAATTAAATGAAATTTGATACACAGATATACTAGAGCCTGAGAAACGACATAGGCTAAAACGGGTTGTTCGGGGTTGAAAAGGCAAATGAAAGTTGGTATGAAAATTCGTGATTTTTGATGCTAGAACAATGAAACTTTCTTCTTTGGCTTTTTGAGAATAAGAGTGAGAGTACGAGCGAGGGTGGGAGTGGGAGTTACAGTAGGAGTGTTGTGAGGTGAGAGTGGGAGTATTGCAGCACTTAGCACACAGATTGGTTGCCCCGAATGCACCCTTTTATAAATAAACAAACAGTCTAAATAATTAACAATTCTACAAAATAGTCACTATTTCACGCGGACGAAGTCGCGGGTATAGCTAGTTAGATAATATATTTTTTTACGCTGTTGGTCTACTCACTGCGTTTTACGAATTTTCCCCTTACGAGTTCATAGCAAGATTTAGCACACAACGAAAAGCCAGTTGGTAATTTTAAATTACAGTCGTATCAGATACAACATATAAACAAATTATAGTTTTGGCTAAGAGCCCACTTATGATTGCTAGTTTTCCGCAAACACGGGGCCAAATTCGTCGTTTGAATAAATGTAACTTAACTTTGGACATATTTATTTACTTATTTTATATAACACAATCTTTTATGTAAATAGTTGTCGAACAAATTTTAAATTATTTAGGATACATACTTTTTAAATTATTTCAATAAAAATGAAATTGTCTATAAAGCGCAGATAAAAAAATATAAATTAAGAGTTAATTTACAGGTGCGTACCAAAAGAGCTATTTCTTTTCAATCTCCATCACCTAGATAGAATTTCGATATTCCACCTATTAAATATACAAATTAAAAATATAGATAATAAATGTATGCATCAATTTTATATGTACGTAGGACCCAGTAGGCAGACACACAATCCGTTGATGCTCCCGTATCACAAATACCTCAAAAGACTCTTGTGTAAAACATAACAATGATTATATTAGGCCCGTTATTTTGAATCAAGGGGCAAGAATTTTCTGTATACACTTACAAACATAAATTTCAAAGCCATTACTGAATATTTTGACGTTTGATGCCGGAAAAGCTACCTTATTTATTTTAATACTAGCTGCGCCCACGTTACCGTCCGCGTGCCGTCGTTCTTGTAAAATAATTATAAAAAATAGACATGTACTGCCAGAGACATTTTCGCCCATACATTGTTGGATCAACGGACCTGTCAAATAGGAAACGGTTTATAATTAATAGGACAGTGAGGTAAAATTCACCAAAGAGATAATTATCTCCGAATTGCATTGATATCCGACAATTCGTTTATTCAAATCGATCGGAATAAAATATAATAAAGCGGAAGCCCCATCTATTATTCCATTATCCGTCGCCATAATCCGACCTCCAATTTATTCCCTCTTTGTACTTTGGCAACTATCATTTATTTTCACATTGTAATAAGGCTTGGGCTTATATATTAGCGGTAGTTAAACCATGTCCAGCTTCTCATTGATGTACTTTTTGTGGCAAACGGAAAACATTTATAAGTATTTATGATTAGTACATTTTAAACTAAAATATGTTTAACGGTTTAAAACGCAAAGTGCATTAGTTATTATAACTTATTCACAATTTATTTTAACTACGGCCCGAGGTTTCCGATGCTTTCCATTTGCTTTTGCCTATTCTTTCTTATTGGCAATTTAATCATGAACAGTATCTCGGGAAATGACTCATAATCGAAATATATGCCAGTATGCCATGGAGAGAAGTATGCTTAACATCAATAGATCAGACAGACAAAAGAATAAAGCAATTAGAAGTAAGACCAAAGTATTAGACCTAGTAATTAAAAAAGACGACGAAAATGGAGATGGGCGAGACATACAATAAGAGGAAAAAAAGTGAAGTCGAACCTAAGTTAAGTTAAAATTGAAAATTACAATATTCAAAACTAAGAGGTAAACCACACGTAACAAATACGCTTAGAAAAGCAAAAGAAACGCGCGAGTTCGTTGTAACAATAGTACTATTTCCCAAATATTCGTTAGACTGATCGTCCACGGCTGCAGTCCTAAGTGACTCGGGCCATAATCACATGCCACAGTAATTCCAATTATCGGAGCCCGTAGCTGGGCCCGGCTGTATGAATTTGGGAGGCGGGTGCGTGACGCATGACCGGTCATTACTGCAAGCTTTAATCAATAACGGCCGATCCGCGCGACCTGAATGCATTGTGCAGTTTAATAGCCTATATATGTGATAACTAATCATTGATTTATACAACATGGGCGTGTCTAAACTATGGAAATATTTAAAAAATACCTTTTCCCATATTCCCCACAAAAGAGCATTTTTGGTAGTCTGGAATAGTTTTCACGAACTGTGTAATATTTTTTGAATAAAAATCTAAAATAAATTAAAAAAAAAAATCGACTCATTCAGGCCTCGAACCGGCATTGTCAGCGTTCCGTGCTGTTGTTCTAACAAATTGAGATACCGATTCCCACACCTCACTTCAATTTTGCACAAACCTATGCCGGTTCAAGTCCTGCCCGAGTCAAAAAATCTTTCAATTTTATATTCGATTTTTTATCTATATAGTGCCATCATGTGCAATTACTTGTAAAATATATTAAAGTTTTCAAATGTGTAATTATTTGTTTATATTTGTGTAATCAAATACAATTAATATGAATATAATTTTTATATAAACTCACTTTAACGGTTTAAAACACAACTGCAACGCATCCGAAACGTCGGGCCTAAAATAATTTTGAAATAGACATAACTGTCTTTATTTCGCATTATTAAACCGTTAAAGTGTTTTATTTAAAATAAAATATAAATATATATATATTTATTTCTATGTACTGCCGCACTTAGTTATAATATAGGCGAACAGGTAAGAACGGGTTCACGTCATGGTAGGTGAAACACTCCAGCCATATAACATCTAAACAAGATGCCCTGAAAACCTATTTTTGGATATTCTGGAATCAATAAGCTGAAACTTTCAACCATTATCCCATTCCCCGTCTTTGGAATTACATAATTATATATTGTTTCACGAGCGACATTTATTGGGGGCGAGGGAAAGTTTATTGTTGTCCAAAGCACAAATAAATAGTAGTCAGAAGCAGGCACAGACGATATAGCAGTTAATTGTTTTCCAATAAGTGGCTATTTAGCTGTTGTGAGAGGGTAGTTCAGTCGACTATGAACTGTAATTAACTACTAGTAATTGCTACGTGTCAGGTATGACGTCATCAGTTAGTTATGAAATACATTGACGTCATATAGGATGAGGCGTGGACGTGGCGTGGGCAGTGTTTATTTGAATATTTTCGAACGGGACCAGGCAACATATAATTATGTAAATGCGCTAATTGAGTGAGTACTTGGGTTCAAAACAGTCAGGTAGGCCGCAGAAGTGTATTTTTACTATTTGACTGCACAAAACTCGCCTAGTATAGATAAACATGCCATTTTACCATTCACCGAATGACTGAAAATCCATTAAAGAAATTATTATAATAGGAAATGACAGAAAAGCGAAGACGGGGTTTATTGCACGGAAAGGAAAATACTCCAGCCACATAACATCTAGCACAATGCGCAGTTGACCTTCTTTGACTTTTGTTAATCGGAAGTTAACAGATTGCAACCGAAACTTCACGGCTTTTTTGTCTGTGGACGGTGGTTTTTAACCCCTACGGAATATTCGACATTCCTACCACCCATATAATATCCAGATTTCAGAAAATAGTAAATTTCGAGCAAACATGTTAACACCCGATACGGTTCGAACCCACGACTTGATTGTTAGCCATAGATTGCTACACTTAACTACTATATATCAAGTCTATATATGAGATAGAATAAAATAGATATTTATCATAGTGAGTTTTCACAAAAAACGAAAATCGTCTTCATTAGTAAGCGTGGTTTCGACGATGATGTGAAATGTAGGTTTTTCCCCACTTGAATAAATTTGAATAGACAATTGGTAGCAGCACAGATTCTCTGTTCACGGTGAACTATGCAATCACGTATTTTAATTTTAAAGTAGCCTTTAAGACTTCTATTAAGTAGAGATTATAGTTTTTCTCTGAGAGTGTAGAAGTTCCTATGAAAGTTCTCTCAAAAATTCCGTCCAGGTTACAAACCACTTTCCATAGACGATAAGGTCGTGGAGTTTAATCGCGTTTTCGTTTTAGTCTGTGGATTTCCGATTATTTACCTAAAGCCAAAATAGGTTGACAGCTTGTTTAGATGAACCTTATGCTTATGTGTCTTCCTCTATTATCTATAATATGTTATTAAATCAAAAATACTTTAATATAACTATAAAAATTTGCTGGTTTAAATCGAGAAAAAATATTGGTTAAACGTATTTGGAATTTATTTTAACTATGCCTCGACGTTCAGGGTGCTTTGCATATTTACTCAAATAAATGTAACTTACATATTAAACTACGACGTAAACTAAAGACATTATCAAAATACCTACCTCCCAGTCTGAGTTCAGCGGCAGCCTGTGCGCTGTCCAATTCTCTCTCAGCGAAGCACTGGTACATCCCTCGGTGTGCCCTCACCACGCCATGGACGCGAAGCACTCGCTCCGCCCCTCCCACGGGTACACCATCGTGAAGCCACCGCACCCGACTATCCCCACCTTCCACTGAGCAATTGAAGCTCACAGAACTGCCGGAGTTCGCAATCTACAAACAATATGCAAGACTTAGGTTTTCCAGCTGTTCGGCCGACGTTTCGTCATCACGAGTGGATGACAACATACTTGTCAGTTGACTGAGACTAAGTCTTCGTTTCGTTCGAAACGTCGGCAACCATTTCTTCCATTTCGGCAATCCATTCAACCGCTGAACAGTTGGGAAACTTAAGCAGTTTTCTTATACGTCAATAATAATGATTAATAAAGCTCGAATGTAAAAAGAATAAATATTTTATATGTATAGACACATAATGATATAAAATATAAAAATTGTATGACATAATCTGGACTTCAGTCATGCTTTACCAATTGCTATTGTAGCTCGGTATAGCGACAACACGGTGCACAACGGGCCGTAATTTGTGTACTGCCTGCATCATTAATTTCCTCAAAGATGGATGATTTTCTTCATTTTCTCAATATTTAATAATTAATGTTTTAGACAGTGTTTTAATTATATAAAATATTAAATCAGCATAAGATCGACGAAGAAAGTCTTACGTTTGAAGTCCTATAAACAGTCAACTAAAGTGAAAGGGACAGTTATTGCGACGAAGATTTAAAGATAAACTTTCCTAAAGGCAGTTTTATTTGTTGGACGAATTTTCCGGTTGCGAGTCGGCGGGAAATCTGTCAGGGCAAAGGCTAGATCTGCGTTTAATGTGTTTAGACGAAATTTTGATGATGCTTCAGAAACTCGCCACAAGTACTAAAGACATTATACAGAGATTATTCTTAAGCTTGGATTAAAAAGATATTAAGGATTTTTTTTAAAATGGTTTTTCAAGTTATGCTCAAGATATCAAAATCTATACTAATATTATAAAACTGAAGAAGTACAAGCTAGTCTCAGGAAATGCTGGTTCGAACTGGAAAGTTCGGTTAGAGCATTTATCGAGGAAGGCTTTAGGCTATAAAACATCACGTTATGATCAATAGGAATATGGAAACAATGGGAAATGTGGAAAAACGGGGAAAGTTATTAATCTCTGAGGGTTTCCGTTGCGTGCGCTGACAAAACATTTATAAATACAAAAAATCACTAAAATTCTTAACAACGTTTTTTGTAAGATACAGCTTAACAATTTGAGTTCAGTCGCTGAAGAAGAACCTACAATGTTAACTTATTCAGCTGAACTAGCTAACATTAATGTACATTGTATAATTGCATTGTAAATGTCAAGCGAACCCAGCTGCGCCATCTGCAGGTGACATAACCTACTACTTTCATTGTCTGCAGGCGAATGTACAAAGTATTTGTTTTCTATGCTTGGTTTTGTTATAAAGGTTAAAGCAAATTGTTACGCGAAAATTTTTTAAATATAAAACTCAAGAATAAAGTCAAAGTTTTGACTGACGTCAAGAGTATGGTGGTAGAGGACGAATAAACTACTTGGCTGTATTGTCTGTAGTTTACGCAAGTAGTAGACATTTAAATAAAACACTTTTAAGGATTAAAAACGCTAAATATATTATTAAACTTACTTTTTATTTATAACTACGGCCCGATGTTAGGCACGCCTTTTAGCAGTTGTGGTCACGGAAGTCAGTAATGCGTTCAAAACGTCGGGCCGTAGTTAAAATAAATTTCAAACAAGTCAACTATATACGTTACGTTTCAAACTGTTAAAAGTCTTTTATTAAAGTGTCTGTAATAATAATACAAATATTAATATTCCTCTTATTAACCTTTAAAACTGATAATTTAAAACTGATTATAATAAAAATTTCTGTACGTAATTTTATTTAAACGATAAGACAAAAATAAAATGGATATAAGAGAATACGGCGGCTTCTTTCTACTTAAGACGCATGTAAGTAACGCTCCGTCACTTTATTTCATTTATTGCAGCTTTTATTACGAAAATAGCTGTTTATTTAGGTTTATTGTCCTATCTATTGTGGTGGTACAAATAAAGATATATGTGTTGTCTAGATTATGAAACTCTTGTCAGGAAAAAGCTAATAAAACTTCCCGGAAATATGGACTTTTCTTTTTTTTTTAACTAAGCGTATATTTTGTTAGCTTTAGCTGTAAGACCGAGGGTGCCCCATTGGAAGACATTTATATTTTAAGATAAGATTACAAGAAGGACAATATAAGAACGACGGGTAATAGGTATAATTTATAAAGATGAGGAAGTTTGAACCTACATTTTGACGCCCAAAATAATTATTCTACACGGACAAAGTCGCTGACACAGCTAATATTATATAAAACTCATATATAGCGTTAAATAATCCAACATTTAGGAGGTATGTCAATGTTTTACTTCCGTTTTACTGCGTTTCTGAATTTTTTACGACTGCGTAACGTTTTTATTACATTTTCGATGATTCCAACGTTCATAATCTTCGTTATTACTTGCGTAAAACGTCGTTAATATGTTAAGATTGAAATTTAATAATAACTATATTAAAGTTTATAATGTGAATAATTATTATCAATACTAGTCTAACTTGATTAATTATTTGACGGGTTCGTTGGTTTAATGATAGCTATGTACCGGTATTCAATGGGTCGTAAACCGTTCCATATCAGATTCAACATTTTTCTAACCAATTCTTATGAAACATGTTGAACTTCTTCTGGAAATCTGGTTATCGAACGGGTGATAGGACTATTAGAATTACACGAATTAAAAAGCCTTCAAGTTAAATTAGGTTTCACTCTGTGGATTTCTGAAAATCCAAAGCCAAAATAATGCAAGTCATCTTTATTAGATAGATATTACAAAAATAAATATATTATTAAAAAAACGTTATTCTATATTCTATATATTCTAGTATACATTAACTATCCTTGATTCCTATGACGATATTAAAAAGATTCGAGTAAGCCAAAAGCCAAAGTTCGTGAAATTGTGACTTTAATGATCGATCATTTACCAAAGACTTATTTTTTATAATTATAAATATAAATTCTATGTGGCTGCCGATAAACCTATATAAGATTATACAGCGTGGTAGTCATATGAAGTCCTAAGTATACATAGTTTTAAAAAGCAAATCTGAATAAAAGAAAACCCGTTTTCCCGGCAGGTCATCGGGTGCATGCATCGGTTTTATTTACAGACATATAATTTTGTGCTCTCCCCGATCGAATCATTTAATTTCCCTGGATTTGATCCCAGGTTAGCCATTAAACTCCAAAAATGGTGTTGATGATTATAGGGAGGAATTAATGTAGAAGAAAAGGTGAGATGAAAGTATAAGTAAGTAAGGAAATGATATAAGTTACAAATAAGTATGGGTTCCAATCGCGTTTCACTCATCGCCGCATTATGCGAGTGTGCTGAATGCTTATTTTTCAATTTCCCGACAACCGAGGCTCCGCTGGCGAAGTCGGGCAAATGTCACTGAATTTTGTATCGAGTTGATATCGCAAAATATCGCTACATTTTACAAATGATAACTACTTTTACGTCGAACGTTAGATACTCTGATGAATGTTAGCGAAATAAATGTTATTTTAATCGTCTTTTCAGCGATCATAAATAGGGTTATTTAAACTAATGCTTGGACAAAAAAAAGTGAGATACCTACTACTAGTAGACCTAGTATATTTTACTTATAACTTTTTTTAATGGTAGTAGACAGACAAGCACGGGATTCGCTTGATGGAAGGTGAAGTACTCCAGCCATATAACATCTATATAAGATGCGCTATCAATCTATTTTGGCTTTGGATAATAAGAATTTTGCACAAATATAAAAAAAAAAGTTATTTAGTACATAATACCAATTGAAATTGACTTTTCATAAACTTTATCAAGTATTGCGTGTAAAAATTGATTATTATTAGCTATATCTATATAATTAATAACAATATAATTAAAGTTAGTTTATTTTAAATTTCTTATTTTAGAAACGAATAAGTGAAATAAATTGTTACGTGGGGATAAATTGATGTAAAGTTTAAGTAGTTTTAATGACCATCAGAATAAGTAGTTTTAACTACACACGGCTGAACCAAATATAATGGGAATTTCAATAGAAGATAAAAGTAACAGCATATATAATTTATTAAAATTCTTAAATGCAGCGGCATATTGAACATGATTCAAGGTAAACTAGAAGCACAAATGGAAAAATGACCAGTACCTGTAATTGAGGGTGCACGCTTACAACGAGCCGAGCGCGCACACGCAGCGTCGCGTCTCTTCGATGCTCTCCGAACTGGTTGTGGGCTCTGCACGTCCAGACGCCCGCATCAGAGAGCTGAGCGCGTCGGATGATCAGCACCTGCTCGGAGACTGATACGCGGATGCTGTTTGATACGGGACTCAGGCGGCCGTTGCTATGGCGGAACCAGCTGGAAAGCCATAAGGAGGGGAAGATAACGCCATTGTACACAGTGAACTTTTTTTACCCTCATTTAAATTATCATCAATTGGTTACATATCGTCTGTCGATTACGTAACTTGTACACATAAAAAATGGTTTTAATGCATACTATGTGACATATGCGCAGTAAATATACAGACGGCGTAATATAAAAATTCAAATCTACTACACTAGCGCCATCTATTTCGTCACAATTATTATTTGCAGAAGCTAGCCCGGTCCATACCGAACTTTAGTAAAAGTGTAACGTAAGGTGTTAGTTAAAAAGGGTAAGATAATTTTACAAAGAAATGTCACGTTTCAAGCCGTTAAACGTGTTTTATTTACATTTCTTACACCAGGAATGTATTTCTATTTAATCATGAGACGTGCCGTAAAATTAATTTGTATTATTACCCACGTGGTAATGGAGGTATAGTTCGCATGCTCAATTTTCATTTAAATGTATATAATATAATCAAATATATATATATATATATATATATATATATATATAAAGTGTATATAATAGTATAATTGTCAGTATAAGAAAGGGCAACCTTGTAAATAAAACACTTTAACGGTTTAAAATGCGATATTATATTAGTTAAACTTATTTAGAAAATGATTTTGGCCCGACGTTTCGAGTCTCCCCGTGACCACGGCTGCTGCACAACATCCGTAGTGAAAAATCATTTTCAAATAATTTTAACTAATATATCCCGTTTTAAACCGTTAAAGTGTTTTATTTAAACGTGTACTACTTGCGTAAACTAAAGACAGTATTTAAAGGGCAACCTTTTAAAACTATTGTAATAGTTTTATGTGTATAGAACCCTTTTTAGGATTTAATATTACTTGGACATTTTACCTATAAGTTGGTGGAGGGCTACCGATGGCGCAGCAGACCAGCCTAATGTCTCCACCTTGTGGTACAGTTTCATCTTCAGATATCGTCAGTATTCTAGGTGCCATACTTCCGGTCCCATCTGTAAAGACAAAGATTACCAAGACTTTGTAAGTAGGTGTTTTATTTACTACCGTCGTTTGTAAGAACATGATGTTAAAAAGGTTCCTTTGATACTTGGTACCAATTGGGATATATTTTAATACGGGTATTGTTTTGTGATTTCCTTTGGAATTTTTTAAAAGTAATTTGATATTCTTTCAATTTTCTAAGAATTAATTGAGTTTTCTTGAAACTGGAGCAACTTTCTAATAGTCTCTTTATACTAGCTTACGTGAAACAGAGATCATGGCTGGTGGACTTCGCCTCTTGTCTCCGGTGAGCTGATGCTGGGCCTCACAGGAGTAGGAGCTGGAGTCTTCAGTGCGAGCGTTGCGGATCAGTAGCATGTCGCCACGACTGCCTCCGATTATGTAGTGAGCTTTAAAAGAAGAACTGTATTAAAATGGGTTATGAATGCGAATAAAACCTTTAACGGTTTCAAACGCGATATATATAAGTTAATCGTATTTGAATTATTTTAACTACGGCCCGACATTTCAGATGCTTTGCAACAGCCGTGGTCACTGGAAGACGTAGTTAAAATAATTCAAATAACTAATAATTATCGCGTTTTCAACCGTTAAAGTGCTTTATTTAAATGTAACTACTCGCGTAAACTACACACAGTACTTCGAGTCAACTTCGTTGAAAAAAAGAACCATAGATTTACTTTGAATAGTGTTTGCTTTTTTAGAAAAAGCTTGTAATAAAAGTTTTTTTAGCGAACATTGCTAAGTAAATGTTTATTCTAAATACACAATACTTCAGAAACTTTCGCTCGAGTAAACGACAGAATTACTCAATAAAAGCTTCCGAACTAAAACACTGTTTTTCTAACACTCCACTTGAAACAGAGAAGTATTATCAGATCTATCTGTGGGGGAACGAGACAAACAAATTGGGGGCACCCGTGCGGGAGAGGGACAACATATAAACAGACCCGCATTTAGAATTCATTGAAAAAGTCCGCGCTGAAAGTTATCTGATCGTAAATGATGACGTGCCAACTGGCGGGAAATCTCTAGCACTTGCTGGGAGCCTACTTGGTAGGTAGTAGATATCATTACTCTATAAGAGATTTTTGAAACTTTATTTGCTGTTGTCGCGAGCAATTACATATTGTTTGGATTCGTTCTGCTTTACACTTTTAACGGCAAGTACAGTATACTTTCCGTTAAAAATGCAAATAAAATTAAATGTACTCAACATTTAAATTAAAAACTTTAACGGTTTAAAACGCGATATATATTAGTTAAACGTATTTAAAAAGTATTTATACAACGGTTCGACGTTTCGGATGGAGATCCTCGTGACCACGGCTACTGCAAAGCGAATCGTCAGGCCGTAGTTTAAATAATTTTCGAATAAGTTTAACAAATCTATATGACGTTTTAAACTGTTAATGTTTATTTAAATATGTACCTACTACTCGCGTAAACTACAGACATTATTTGAACTAAACATTTTTTTTCCTTTGTTTACGATTGGCTTTGTTTAAATTTATTCTTCAAATTTACGTCAAATTATCTTATCATTAATTATTTAATTTTTATTATCCCACACTACTTTCAATTACTTTTCGATAATCGATAAACGTCTTCAATCAAAACTAGACAAGTAACGCGCTTTTTATTAACATGTATTTAAAATTCCATACTCCCAAGACCTCGAACAATATTCCAACCGAAAACATTAAAACGAAGTTGGATACTGGATTCTATAAATGGCTGAGTGCACTCCTCATTTCAAAGTCATGAGAATTTTACCGCCACTAAAGCAATTTGTGGTGTTTGATGCTAGAGACTCGACACCGCTAATCTAGGTTGCCACGCTTGCCTGACACGACCTCGACTTATTCTCTTATGAAGACTAATATCTCATAATCCCATCTATATTTATGTATACTTGAACTTTTTTATGATTACAATTGTAAATTTAAATGTGTCCTTCGTAATCTATTAATATTCTACTGGTGATATTGGTATTCTCTCAAAGAAGAAGAATGTTTCAAAGCTGTTAAACTTAAACTTACGATGCTATTTTAACGACTACCTCCAAGAGAGATTTCAAATTAAAAAAAAATTATTACACCACCAATTGACACGGTAGCTCAATCGCTTCTTTTTAGAGTTAGCTATATAGCATGTGAAAATTATTAAAGTTTTCAGACTACCATCAAATTAGTGAAGATAACCAATGGCTAATGTTATCTCCGAAATGAAGTTTTACAGAACTATTACTCTTCCTCTTTCTTCATTATAGAAAAAAATCCTAACACCGAACGATCATTTCGAACGAGAGCGCACGGAAACGTAGTGGACTAGTCAAGTACACTAATTACTAGGCCAAATTGACTGCTTTAAAACGACAGTCACTGGCTTCGAACTTTTAAGAAATAAGCTAGTAACTTGCCATGAAGGCAGTAATGTTATCGAATAATAAGCTAAATATAAGCTACTGTAGATATTCAAAAATCGAATACGCTAGAGTGAAATTTTTGTGAATCGAAATTCGTACTTAGAATGTTAAAATGGGGGTTATATCTCCTGAAGTCTGAGTGTTCCCATTGGAGTTTCCCTAACTATCGCCGATTTAGCATTCCAACTATCAAAGCTTAAGCGCAAAGCTATCGGCCTTTGCTCGTTCGCGATAAGTAGCCGAGTTCATTTGCATAATCCTATCAGCAATCAATGAGATTGCATCAGTTGGTGAGAGCTCGATTTTACCTTGGCCTATATCTATACAACTATTTGACATTTTAAAGTACGTGAAGTCTGTAAAATGAAACTTGGCGTAAAGATAGCGGCGAGTTTGTTGCCAGTTCTTCTCGTTCGATCTACGCCCTTGATTTGAGAAGTAGTACATGTAAATTTAGAGCCTTTAGTTTTCAAATGATGTGACGTTCATAAGTGTGTGTACCTAAAGCAAAATTGTGGGAGAGATTGGGGTATATTTTTTTTACTTATTTATTTATATTATTTTAACAGACTTGTTCTTCTAATATATAGGAGCAAGATATAACTAAAGATCAACGTGTTTTTAAAATCTATTTATACATTTTTTTTTTAGATTTCGCTCTCGTTCCGTCCGTTTACGTCTCGAACAACGTTCACAAATGGAAAAGCTTTTCATGACACACAAATTATGAGAGTTTTCGAACATCTAGAAGCCAAAAGAGGTTAAAAATTTATTTACACGTTTAATAATAAAATTACTATGCGTATTGTCTGTAGTTTACACGACTAGTACATATTGAAATAAAACTTTAACAGTTTAAAACACGATATATATTCGTTAAACATATTTGAAAATAATTTTAATTACGACCCAACGTTTCGGATGCTTTGCAGCAGTTTCCCCATGATCACGGCTGCTTTTAACTAACATATAAACTCTTAATGTGTTTTATTTAACTACTATACGTGTATTAATACCTTGATTATCTTTCACATTTAATGGCTGTTCAAATACTCGACAACTCAAGTGGTATTTAAAAGATTGTTAATTTTACTCGTGTCGCTGGTATTGTGAATTGACTTTACACCACACGATACTAAGACAACATCATCTCAATATTCTTTTGATAAAAAGAATTCACGAGCGATGTAAAGCACGAATCTATTTCGCTTTGCACACGGGCCGATGAGGCAATAGAAAGATTCCCAGATGTCAAAGGGCGTAAAGATAAAGACGCGAATATTGAACACAGTGAATGGAGCCGCGTTGTCTGTGACGTCATTATACTCTTCCGCCTCAAAACACACGCAGCGTCAGACGACGTAATTGGATAATTAGCTAGCCTTAAATAAAATGAAGTTTTGTCGACTAGAGAGCTTCTTCCGTATTTGCAAGCGTAACATATAATATAAGGACTGTCCTACAACGAGTATATAGTACTAATTTACTTGTAGTAAGATATTACAAAGCTTGTTATTTTAGTTTACTCGAGTAAATCGTGACACATTAAATACAACATTTATAAAAAAATATGTGTAAACAGTTAAGCGTAGACTAAAACGCCTGTGAAGCAAATTTTTCGTGTGAGGTTTACAAAATATTGCCATTAAAAATGTGTATAGAGTAAAAGTTATAAAATTCGATGGCACGAGTGGAACTTAACCTGAACTTTAACCCGTGCTGCTGTTTAAACCAATTGAGCGACCGTGTCCATTCCAAAATAAAGCACAGTAGAGTGCGGTAGCGCAATTGTTTGGACTTGCCCGTGTCGTTAAATTCTTTCAATATCTAAATAGATTTTTAATTAATTTTGAAACAAGTTACGTTCAGGTAGTTACAAAATATTGTTCGATTCCGCATTTGTTTTGAATTGAAATCAGTAAATATTATAAATACAATTAGACCCCAAACAAACAAATAATATTAACGTATATTAACTTTATTTCTTACATAGCTGTACTTAGAATAATGAAATCTTCTTAAATTAGATGTTTTTTTGTTAGAACTGTAAGAAGCTCGTCTTTTAGTAATCTGAATATCTACAGCAGTTATAACTAAGCAAATATTGAACGTGAATAAATTGAGTTAACTTTGAGGTCCCTTTGTCTCAATACTAGAGAAGGGTCTGTGCAATTATAATTTCGCTTTACTTGACATTTATAATTCATTTCTATTATATTACTTCAGTCATAAGTACAAACACGTGTTCCTATGTTTGAAACAGCTACTATTGTTAGTATAGGTTGCTAGAGGTAGAGTGGCCTAATAAAAAAATGTGACTTTCAATAAGGAATGTTAACTGAATTGGTGTTGACTGAAGTAAATTATGTTAATTTATTTAAATTATCGGCCACAATGCTCTTGTAGATTAGCTTTTTACACAATAATAATATAAATAAGTTAAATCATAAAATAAATACTGTCTATAGTTTACGCGAGTAGTACACATTTAAATAAAACACTTTAACGGTTTAAGCCGTGGTCACGGCTGCTGCAAAGCATCCGAAACGTCGGGCCGAAGTTAAAAATCATTTTCAAATAAGTTTAACTAATATATCGCGTTTTAAACCGTTAAAGTGTTTTATTTAAATAAATCATAAAATTTCAATTAAGCTACTCTGCCTCTAGCAGCGTCGTATTTCTTACAAAGAGGAATGTGTTTAATAGGAATCAAACCCACGAACCGTTGTTAATTGGAGATTGATACAGCTACACCAACGACCTAGACAGATAGATTTAAAACTTATTTTATAGACAAACTGTCTAGGCAGGAAGTAATTTCAAGATATTACAAATATTAATATTTTGTGCGACTTAAAACAAGTGGATGAAGCAGTTTAAATTTGACATTAAATTTGCATTAACGCTGTTTCGTGCAAACTTTTCATTAATTCGTATAATGCCTTGTCATCTAAGGCTCATTAGACACATTAAAAGTTACGTAATCTACGAGTAATAGCCCGCTTAAAGAAGACCTAAGTACTTACCTAAGTCTTATTATTTTAGAAAAAGATAACAGATATAAAAATATTATTATTATAAATTTTTCTGCAATCACCATTATCTCCTAATCATTCACCCATTTTCCCATGAAAGCAGATACAAAAAAGAGAATTAAAAGTAAACTAATTTACCCGCATATATTTTACTGTAGACCACTCTTGCCGAAATAATGTGGCAAATGTTTGTGAGTGTTTTATTTAATGTGTACCACTCGCGTAGATTACTGGCAACAATCGAAAATTTCATTGTGTTTACTCATGTTATTGCACATGGTGGCATTATTTAAATTAAAATCTATTAATATTGAAAAATGTTAATGGGACACATAGCTGCTTTAACCAATTGAGCTACCGTGTCTTACTTTGCTCTATTTTGATCTCACGGAAACGGTAGCTCAATTGGCATAAGCAGCAGCACGATTAGTGAACGTTCGGTTTAGGCTCCGCCTGTGCCATCGAATTGTATAACTTCTTCTCTGAATACCTTTTTAATTCATATGTGTACAGATAATATTTTGTAACTAATTCATTTACACACAAAAAAGTAGCTTAACATGACACTTTAACAGTTTAAAATTAGATATATATTAGTTAAACTTATTTAAAAAATATTTTAACTACGGCCCGACGTTTCGGATGCTTTGCAGAACACGTGACCATGGCTAAAGAGTTTTACACTACTATTGACAGTATTTAGCTTAGAACTTAATTCTACAGTTAACAGAGGTAAATAGCGTCAAAATTGAGCCTCGTGTGTAAAGACCCTTCGAAGCTTAACTCATTTTATTGTACTTCCGGCTCCTAAGCATGAGCTGTTCTCTTGGGCTTCAGTTTGATCCTTATTGCTCAGTAATAAAAGAGGACATAAAACATTCCTCCAACCATATTAAATGTTTTATTTCAAACTAGTCGGATGGCATTTTTAATATATTAATAATATGAGGATTGAAACTTACGACGTGGCATAACCACGGGATGTAGTGGCAATTGATTTAAAACATTATATATTACTTAGCCTCTCGTAGCCGTGGCTATAGCTAAGCATCCGAAACGTCAGGTCAAATTGAAGCTTAACTCGTATATTTCGCGTTTTGAACTCTTAAAAGTGTTTTATTGAAATGTATAAAACTCGCGTACACAACAGACAATACTTAAAAGGATTACAAAGCTAAATTATATGTACTTCTAAAGTAATATTCAAATTTTTAATCAGGATAATTCAAGGGAAATTGATTTATAAAATGATAGAAATCGCCTGAAAACGGAAGCGTAACAAGACGAAAAATGCTAATTGAATTTTCTCATCCAATCGTGAGAATTAAAACTCATGAAGCCTTGTTTCTGTCGCGGACAGCCGCTCTCTGGAAAATCTTAATTTGCCCCCCCCCCCTTGTGGGCCAACTTTTGTGGATGGGGCATGGGGCGTAATATTATGAATAAAGAATCTGTATCAACTACGTACATTTTTATAGGGTAACAACATGGCTTATTAATTTACGCTTTCGTACTATTTACACACATTATTAGTTAATCTGTATTAATATATAAAGTTGAATAGATTGTTTGTTTGAAAACGCTAATCTCAGGAACTACTGGTTCAAATTGAAAAATTATTTTCGAGGTAGTTAAATCATTTATAGAAGAAAGCTATTGGCTAAAACATCGCGGGAAATGTATAAAAACGAGGAAATTTAGTCATCCTTGCGGGGTTCCGTGCGAAAAAGGTTCAAGATACACAAAAAAAAACGTATGAAAGGAAGAATTTTCTTTAAATGATCTAAAAAAATGTCCGCGATAGTTAATGTGTATCTTTCAAGATTGACACGTAAGAAAGACGCGATGGGTCGTAGGTGATGCACAGCAGATGAGGAGAAGGTTTAAAAAAAACTAATTTTGATGCACAAAATACCATTTTACGACGAAGTCGCTGACACAGCTATTACAGTGTAACCGCCCGAGTTCCAACAATAGACCACACTTCAAGCATTCCATTTAGCTGCAATAGAAATTTGAATTTGGAATAGCGATCTCGATAGTAGTAGTCGCCGAGAAAAGGTCATGAATTCGAAATAATTAACGCCGCGTATTGTTGGCGGACGTCCAAAACACCAATATTGCGAGCTGGCAATTTATTGCACAGTTATTGTTGACCATCCATCAATCACGAATTCCGGATCTGTTAATGAGGATTTTAACGGTGGCCGATACTGACTTTTACAAAGTGTTTGTTCAAATTAATCTAGCCACCACTATATACACTACTAGCTGTGTCAGCGACGTCGTCCGCGTAGAATAGTTATTTTGGGCATCAAATTTTTGGAAATTTGGAACCTCCTCTTCATTTTTATTGATTTAAGCTATTTTGCACGACGTCGGTCGCTTCCCGTCGTTCTTGCAAGTTAACTATTTAAAAAGATAGACATATAGTGAAGCGGGAACTTTTGGCCGGAAGTAAAGAAGGTAATGAACAAGCTGTAAGGGTCAACTCACACCGAAAAACGACGCGAAGCATCGGACACTGTTTGAAACAACGATATAAAATACCTATGAATTTATTGACTACAAGTTTCATTGCAAGAATTTGAAATTGCTTCCCGATGTCGGGCCACGTATCGGTGCCCCATGATGCAAGATTTTACCAAAACAATATTACTGTATATATATTTTTAAATATTTAACTTTATTTAGAATTATCTAAAATTTAGTCATGGTTTAAAAAAAATACTTCTTAATTAATTCATTAAAAAGCTTAGAGCTCTAGTTTACGTGGTTAGTAGGCATTGAAATAAAACACTTCTGAACTGTTTAAAACGCGAAATGTATCAGTTAATCTTATTTACAATTACAGTAAGTGTTATTGTTGGAAGATGGGAAAAGCAACACACTTTCACTTAAGCTTTCACACTCCCACTGTTTCGCTTAATATTCTGTGTTTGACTCACCTGATTCAGCGGCCATGGGGGTGAGGAGAGACCCGTCTTTAAACCATCTCGTCACCGTGATGTAGTTCTTCACTGGCTGAGAGGTGACGCACATGAGCAAAGCCACTCCGCCCGCCACCCCGTGACTTGGGACTATGTGGATGTCCCAGGGTACATCCATAACTAGAACAAAGGAAATACAATATATGTTTTAGTACTTTCGAAACCTTGTTACTTATATATTCATCTTTTGTTTGTAAAACACGCTTAACTGAATATTTATCAAGATAAAATGCACAAATTTTTTATCGAAATTTATATTTTTCAGTTTTTTTTTACGATAGCGAAGGACAAGCATAGGGTTCACTAGACGGTAGGTAAAATACTCCAGCCACATAACATCTAAACAAGATGCGTCGTCGACCTATTTTAGATTTTGATATTCGGAATATAATTAGCGGAATTTTCAAAACTTTTATGTTGCATATGATGGCGCTATATATTAAAAAAAGTACGTCCTGACGGTGTCGTAATTAAAAAAAAATCTAAAATCGATTTTTAATTTATATCGGAATCTTATTCAAAACAATTGTATATGATTGTATAAAATATCGTTATATATTAAATCCAATTTGTTCACTTTTTGTTGTAAAGTGTTGACAGCTAGTAGTACATAATTGAATAAGTTACCGTCTGTCAAGTGTTAGGGAAACTCGTTCCTAATTACACAAGTTTGTCCGAGTGAATTAGTGCGGTCCCCCCACTTCGCTTATACGAGGCTGTCACCACATAATTCATTACTATCATTATATTATATGTCACGTTTAGTGACATCAAAGCATTTCGCTTTAATCTTACCACGTATTTACCTGACAAAGAGATATGGACAGTTAAGTTTAAAGGTATGATCACAGCGTTGCGTGTTGTTGCTCTAAGCGATTGAGCTACCGTGTCCCACAAGTCATCGTTGATTTTTTTCAATCTGGTACATACACCTCTCGCGTTATCTCGTTTTATTTTTTAGGTGTTAACAAAAGCTGTTGTTAGTAGTCCATTCGAACTGATTTTGTAGAAAAACAACAATATCGTCCCAATTTAAATAAAATACTTTAACGGTTTAAAACGCGATATATTAGTTAAACTTATTTGAAAATGATTTTTAACTTCGGCCCGACGTTTCGGATGCTTTGCAACCCGTGACCACGGCTGCAAAGCATCCGAAACAATGTCTCTAAAATAGCTAACGTTGTTTCAGTTCCATAAAAATTATCTGCGAAAAGACATTGCTGAAGAATACAATCGATTTAATAAAACAATAGTTTTGTGAAAGTCGATAATCGGTACACAAATAATAAAAATACCAAAAACGTCCTCAGCGTTCCGTGCTGTTGCTCTAACCACTTGAGCTACCAAGTTCGAGGACTCGGTAGCCCAACTCAAGGATGCCGATTCAGGTCCTGCCCGAGTCATTTTATTTTTCAATTTATAAATGATTTTTATTATCATATAAAAATATAAAGTAATACAAAATAAATTTATTATGGAAGCGTATTCTGCTCTTTGATGTCTTAGCTCAGAGTGAACATCAAATGGTTTTTGATACTGGGCTCACTCCACTGACGCACATTGGGAGTCTTGTCACGTATCGCTCTCAACTGCGTGTGAGTTTAGTTCGCCAATTACGTGAAACGTTTCTCTATAACTCCAAAAACAATATTCAATTGTTCGAAAGGTAGTTGGGTTGGGAATTTGAGCGCTCTTAAACTTTGTTCTTCTTTCAGACAGCGTTGAGTTATTTTTCACTTCCCTACAAGTTTGAGATTCTTGCAGGGGAATTTCGAATTGAATTATTATTTCATTAATATTACTGAAGCGGATTTATCATTACATCTTTTTATAGTCGTTATTTAGGCTGGTTGACTCCTGAATTAAAAGTAGAACCAAATATTACAGTTTTCGTTCTACGGGGACCTACGATATATTTATGAATGTCACGTGATAGATGCCGTTATAACGATGGCAAGAAATTTTTAACCGACTTCAAAAAGAGGTGGGTAGATCATATAATTCGTTATTTTTTTGTTCGTATTTTGTTAAAATTTATTATGAATCCATATTGACTATAGTTTTTTGTTAGAAAGTAGGTGTTTGTTATTCGAGAATAATTAGTTATGAATCGATTATGATTATTAAATTTTGTTCAAAGTAGACATTTCGATTTCTATTTAAGTAAATCAAAATACGTATGACATTGTGTGAAGGTAATTTTTATTTTTCTTTTTGAAGTCCCTTTTTTATAAAAAAAAATATGTTACCATGCTGATTGTTGAAAACTCTTATGGGATTTCCTATAATAATAATGATGCTCTTAGAATCTCTGGCAAAGTCGTGGCAAGTCCAAACGATACGTACACTGGGACGCGGCAAAGTTTAGTGATTTCGGCGGTGGCTGTAACGAACTCCCGTCCCACGGGACGTCGATGATAATGAAACATTGTGGCTCGGATGAATAATAAACACGACGGCTGATTTCCCTCGTCACTGCTACTTTGACAGGATTAAGCCGCGAACGGACGGACGTTTAAGCCGATCACAGGGGGCGCCACATATTATCCCCGTGTCCCGGAAGTTTCCCGCGCTGTTAATGGATTTTAGATAATAGGCGGTAAGCCGTGTTTTGTCTTTACCTACTGTGTGTCCGACAACAGATTGTATACAGTTATAGTTTTTATTTGTCTCAATTTAATCGACTTTAAATCATGCATCAATTAAATACTGTCTCCCCGTGACCACGGCTGCTGCAAAGCATCCGAAACGTCGGGCCGAAGTTAAAAATCATTTTCAAATAAGTTTGACTAATATATCGCGTTTTAAACCGTTAAAGTGTTTTATTTAAATCATGTATCAATTACCAAAAGATTTTTTAAATTAAATGTAAGTACTTCGGTTATTTGTGTGCCCTTTTTAACTAAAGCTCTTTGACACGAAGAAAAAACCTGTAACAAGCAATCTCTTCCAATTAATATAGGATGAATTCTGTTCATTAATAATAATTATAGAAATTCGAAAACAAATTAATAATTATTTATAGTTATTAATTATCGCAGCAATACTAAAAAAGCGTGGTTCCTATACAAGTAATAGGCTCATTATAAATAAATATTCATAGAATTTTTATACCTCCGCAGTATAAAGTGTTTATAGACTTTGCCAATATCAAAATTTATTGTTCGTATCACTGACAATATTACAATTTCTAATTTAGCCCCGAATGACAAACCATTTCGAAATAATCACTTATTGGAGCTCCAATTTTCGTTTTGTTTGTCAAATAAATCGTTTTGAATTAAAAACGTGATTCCCGCTTAGACGAATGGATTTATTATTTGACGCTGAGCGGGGGATATGAAAAGAGAATTGGACAAAAATTCACGGATATTTTAGAACTTCATCAGACGCGACAAATTGAAGCATGGCCCTGCAGACTGCAATGGGCACGTCAGACTAACATAACTGTCAGTCTTAAATAAACAACTATATACTGTCTGTAGTTTACACGAGTAGTACAAATTTAAATAAAACACTTTAACTATTTAAACCGCGATATATATATAAGTTTAACTTATTTCAAAATTATTTTTAACTACGGCCCGACGTTTCGGATGCTTTGCAGCAGCCATTGTCTTTGTAACTAACATATATCGCGTTTTAAACTGTTTCATTTAAAACAACTACATATATATTTTCATTCTATTTCAACTATTAACATTGTCTGTTCGTAGAAAATGTGAAGTGTAGAGACTCGCCTTTGCAAAATTCCCAGCTATATTAATATCATAATATGCTTTACGAAGCGTTCGTCGCGTAGGTATATAAAAAGTATGTTTTTCTTTCAATTTTTTGTCTTTAGCTATATAAGAAACTAGCTGTATCAGCGACTTCGTCAACGTAGAATATTAATTTTGGGCTTCCAAAGTTTTTGCAAACCTCTTCGTCTCTATACATTTAAGCTGTAACCCACGACATCGGTCGTGACCCGTCTTTTTGGCCCCGTCTTTCTTGCAAATGAATGTTAAAAGATAGACATATAAGTCTTTGGAGTAGGCTAGTATACCCAAACCGGGGTTCTTGCTGGTTTATAAGTTTTTGAACATTGCATATACATATATTTAAATTAATAACATATTCTAAGCTTAGGTACTAACAAATCTGTTTAATGTATCAACAAATAATGTAAAAGGTAAGAAATAAATACTTATTATTATTATATTTAGTGTCGCGAACATTTTTTAGATCATTTAAAAAGGAACAATCCTTTCAAAAATAGTTTTTTGGTGTCCGAATCGGAACCCCACAGAGAGAAATAATTTCCCCCGTTTTTCCACATTACCCGCTCTTTCTTCGCTCCTATTAGTCACAGAGCACTGTCTTATAGCCATCACAAGTATATTTTTTTCATTTCGAACCAGTAGTTCCAGAGATCAGCGCGTTCAAACAAACAAACGAAGTCTTCGGCTTTATATATTATAGATAGATGGATTTCCGACTGAAATCTTTATCTAATTTCTAGAATTATATTAAAAAAGCGCAAAACTGGCCTAATTTTTATCATTAATGGCAATCGTATTTTTTACGCTCTTTTTATAAATATACTGCAAACATTTTCTAACGTTGTTTAACCTCAGAGTCATTTACATTTTGAATTGAGTGGGCTCTGTTTTGGGATGTGTTTGTGAAGGTCATAAGGGATAGAGAGAGATATAGTTAAAATCGTTGGATTATGAAATAATGGGTTTATTGTTCACTGTTCGTATAGAAAAAATATTACCACACTAAGGTTGTTTTCATATTTGACAAACTCGGAAAACAAACCAACAGTAGGTACCTCACAAACATCATGAAATACCGTACTCAACCAACACCGCAATCATGAAAATATAAAACTCAACAAACACGAATTAACAAACAACACAAAATTTCAATATTAAACAAATAAGGATAATTAAAAACGCAAACAAACATATGCATATATTGTTTATTTTAAATTTGTATTGGGATTTCACGATCGCAGACTATCAAATCTATTCTTGTGAATTATTCCGACACAAGTCAAGTTGGGTAAAGCTGGAAATGAAGTATTGAAGGATCACGTCATTCCTTACCCTTTTAGACGTTACCGGCTTTTCGCACAATAATAGCCCCGTTTGCACATACAAATAAGCGCTAGAATCGCTCAAACCCGTTCGCACTTGACCGGCGTTGACGTTTGGAGTGTAAATCGTTCGCTAGGAATGCAAATAGGGATCTTTATGGAAGAGGTTCAGAACCTTTGATTGAGTCGTGGATGTCGTCTTTGTGACTGGCGTTAATGGAATCGCCGAGACGAGTACTCGTTCGGTCCCTTTTCGAACTTATATGAACTATGTATATGCTGATCGCAGATCGTTGTCAGACGAACTTGTCAGTGTAATAGCAAATTATGCGCGCATATTCTCTTAGTCAGCTGTCTCAATACGGCTAAAATGAAACCGTCTTAATACGCAAGTGCCAAGATTGAAATTATTGTGCGCGAGAGGTGCATGTATCAATAAGTTGAAAAAATTCGACGACGAGGTGTGCGACTCGGTCAAGTCGATTCAAGTCCTGCCCGAGTCGAAAATGTTTTCAATTTTATTTGATTTTAAATCTATATAGTACCATCATGTGCAATAACAGGTAAACTTATGTTTCTATCTATCTATACATCTATTGTTTCTACAGCAATTTTATGGTCAAATAAAAGTAACTCAGTAGTTAGTAAATTTCGTACTTCTGCGCGTTGTCTATTTATCTTTTTAGTTTTTTCTAGTCGGCTTGCCTGGAACAGATCGCTTATAGCGGTGTACTCTATACGAATACTGCGTATGTATATCCTTAGAATTTTATTTTTTACATGTAAAAAGATTTTTTTTTAATTATGTCTTTTTTATTAGTGAACGGTTTTAAAGGGAACATATTTTCATGTAAATCTTGGGAAGCCGATATCTAACTCGGCTTTTAACACCAGAGTATGATTATGTGCACTGCACACTGATACTGGTATCACATCTATGTATTACGCAATCAGTCGTTATAGGTATATTGATAAAACTGTGTTAAAAAGGCAATAAAAGGCTTGAATCACCTTCAAAGTCAATCAATCTCATCATAACTCACCTGCTTCTACTCTCATGTCACGCGAAAGCACCGTACCCATAGTGCCAGAAGCACGACATCGGTAGACGCTGGCGTGTACGTCGCTGCGGTACTGCGCTGCTGAAAAGGGGCCCAGCCATAGTGTACCATTTGGGAGTGCTTGTCTGAAACAAATATAGTATTTTATTAAAAGGTATTTAAGATTGAAAAATCAATCGTATACTATGATTTTGATCGTATTTGATACGCTGTAGTTATCAAATTTTGCAATTTATATATTGTAAAGCTTTGAAATTGTTTGTGTGTATGAGCTTATCTCGGAAACTACAAGTAACTAATTGAAAAATTGTTGTTTGAACATTTATCGAGAAAGGCTTAATTCTATAGAACATCAGGCTCAAACCAATGGGAACGAAGAAACAGATGTGGAAAATAATTTTATGTATCAAAATTTCTTTTAATGATCTTAAAAAAATGCCCTTGATGATGTCAAATGTCATGAGAATCAAACTTTGAAGAAATTAACAAAACTTCATATGGCAATAATGTTTACAGGCCAGCTAGTCTTTTATATATGGCCTTACATTTAGCCTAAGTTTGGCTACAATATACTTACAAACTAAAATGATACTATACGAGGATATAAGACAACCGTTAAAAATATAGACGTACATAAACACATCTATAAAAATTTTCGACAAAATCAAATCCCTAACTTTCGATAGCTTCGGCGTAAATCTCAATTTAAAAACGTAAAAAAATATCGAGGCCAAAAAAATGAGAATCCAGGATAGGATCGAATAAAAACAGCTCTATTTTTATTTGGAGTAAATGATTTGAAATTTATTCATTTCGTCGCGTTAAGGACTCTTCAAAGAGATATTTCTGAAATCATATCAAAACGAGACGCCGAGGACGCCGATTGAAGTCGCGATATCAACTTTTTATAATTAATCAAAGCCATTCGGACATTCGTTTCCTATTTCTGAATAACTTCTCATTATATTATGCCTCCAGATTAATTACGGAAGATGAATTCTGAAGATTACATCGGGGAAATTTCATTTCGAAAATAAACTCTGCTACCAGCTCGTGCATGTTTCTTTATCGGGATTCAAAAGATATTACGAGTATGTCTAGTATTTAGTAAAAATAAATACTGCTCCTCGATTCTGCTGATACAGTATTCTTAATTAAAATAATTTTTAATGTTTCTTGAAAGAGATAGAATAAGAATATAAAATGTAATGACGATGGATTTCCTTTTCAAAAGTAGCAATTACATCAAACAAATTTTAATTTTGAATTTATCAGTATAATTTCCTACTATGTGTTTATTACCAACTCTTACGTCAATTAAATGAAAATTATGTAACAAGTTGAAATTATATTCCTCATTGGACAAGCCACAAAATTAAGCAGAAGAAGAAGAAGAAGTTGTTATTACAGTAGCTTACTAGGATCAACGCAGTATTAAGATTTTCTAGTTTGTACAGGCGAATTGCTGTAATATATGTCTAAGTACCTGCAGCCAACAATACTTATTCTTAACAACTAAAATGTTACAAAATTCTAATTTTAAACGCCTGACTTAAAAAGTTCATCCACTTATACAGTAACAAATTTAAATATTTCTCCATACAAGTAACTATTGTTTAATAACGCAGAAGTATAGACAAACATGCCGCTAATTGGGATTGGTTGATTATGTCTTTAGCCATTCGGAAATCAAAATACTGAAGATATAAAACGTGGCTTTGCACAACTTTTAGATTGGTAGATCTATGCTGGTGTTATATTAACAATATTTTAATAACCGGACCTTCAAAATCGTATATGATCGGCATTTTAGCAAATTTTTATAATAAAAATAATTTAAATTTTTAATCCGTTAAAGTGTTTTATTTAAGCGTGTGCAATAATTATTATGGGCATCGTATTATTTATTTATTAATATTTCTATTATATTATGCAAACAATCTCCTCAGCTTAATTATAGCTGTTACTCACGACGTCATCCACGTCCCGTCATTTTTGCAAGTTCATCTTTCAAGATAGACATATACTGCCACGTACATTTTAGATCGTTTAAATAGGAATCATTTTATCGTATATATTTTTGTCATCTTTAACTAGGGAAATCGTTCGTGCTTCGAGACAATGCTTAGTAAATGATATAAACACGTAATTAAAGGGTGTCGCACACACGTTAATTGAGTCGGAGTAAATATTATGCCGTAGCGTTAATTGCAACTTGTCTTGATGGGAACCGTGTGACGTATCTCCTGAGTGTCTCTTTAGTGGCGGCGCCATACACTAAGGACTTTAGTATATACGTTCACTAGCTAGTAATATCCAAGTACAAACATTTCATTACTAGCCATGATGATTTTTTTATGATAGGATAGATTCACTTAATGGTAAAGCACTTCGTTAGTTGATGGTGATGTAAAGTAAAATAAGCAGACTATAAGAGACGTGGCTTATCTCGATCTCGCCTGTTCTCGCCCTAAAATTTATAGATGTTACGAAGTTATCTGCGTGAGAAACATTTTTGTTTGTACTCTATCGCAGTTATTTATTTATTTATCTAAAGTATCTGGGACACTTTTCTTTATAGAGGAAAGACAACATGGGGTTCGTTTGATAATAGGTCAGATACCTATATGTGTTGACTTTTTGCTTTGGACATTCGAAGATCTGAAGACTGAAATCGAAACGATTAAAATTCACGGTTTTTTCATAACCGGTGGTTCGTGACCTAGATGGAATTCAATTTATTTTCTACCACCAATTTTAAATCCAAATTTCAACACGAAGTCTAACATGTTTCAGAAAAAAAAAGATAAAATACTATCTATAGTTTACGCGAGTAGTACACATTTAAATAAAACACTTTCACGGTTTAAAACGTGATATATTAGTTAAACTTATTTGAAAATGATTTTTAACTTCAGCCCTTAAGTCTACGAAAGAGCTACGCCGTAATAAGTCGTAAACTATTTGAGCGTATGAATATCGGACTAAACAAATCCATAATTAATCCGTTCCCAACAATAGTGAACCCGATAACCGCTTTCGTGCGGCCATGTTTATTTTACAGCCTATAGATCTGTTTGCGTTCCCGCGTAGAGGAAAACATGTTCGCATGATTATGCAAATGGTAATTCACATTAACATAGGCCGTCTATAAGCATTCAACTAACCCTCGTGTGCTTGCTAATAAACAGGCCGCCAAGTCGCCCTTTGTACACATAGGCCGGTGAGTGAATGAATGTATTGTGTTTCGAAATAATATCATTGTAGTTCCATGAAAGCCTTGCGTATAACTCTCGGTGGTGTTTTCAAGTTATTGTATTCGGTTCGGGGTCTATTCGCGTTGTTTCAATACAATGTAAGGTTTCAAACTTATTAATAGTAACTGTAAATTTGTAAAATAAACGTGTGTAAGTAAGTGGCTACCCAAGTAAATATACATTTGAGTTTGAGTTGAATTATCGGAAATATAGTGTAGGGACTCATATTTTAAATTTCTGTTTTGCTGATTATTTTTATTAATAAGGATTTTTATCTTCTCTAGTCTATCGTAGTCATGTCATATGTTACTTGGCAATATAACATAGGAGACAGTAGTTACAGTTACAGTAGTTACCAACAAAACCTTGGTTTTTGTTTTAATTTATTAAAATACTATCTCGATCGATCGATTCAGCCGTTCAGCGTCCACTGCTGGACATAGGCCTCCCCCATAGACTTCCAGTACGACCGGTCGTTCGCCAGTTGAATCCAGCGTTTCCCCGCTACCTTGACCAGGTCGTCGGTCCACCTGGTAGGAGGTCGTCCAGGTTTTCGACGTCCGGTACGTGGTCTCCACTCCAGAACCTTTTTGCCCCAACGGCCGTCAGTTCTTCGAGCGATGTGCCCAGCCCACTGCCACTTCAGCTTGCCAATTCGATGGGCTATGTCAGTGACTTTAGTTTTTCTACGGATCTCTTCATTCCTGATTCGATCGCGCAGGGTAACTCCGAGCATAGCCCTTTCCATCGCACGCTGAGCGACGCGTAGTCTGTGCACCATGCTCGCGGTAGGAGACCATGTTTCGGTACCGTACGTCATCACTGGTAACACACACTGCTGGAACACTTTAGTTTTCAGGCACTGAGGTATACGGGATGAAAAGACTTTGTCTAGTTTCCCGAATGCTGCCCAGCCGAGTCGGATTCGACGATTGACCTCTTTCTCGAAGTTGGATCTACCTAATTGTATTACTTGACCCAGGTAGACGTATTCATCAACAACTTCGAGTACAGTGCTTCCAATAGATACAGAGGTAGGCACTACATGGGCGTTCGACATTACTTTTGTCTTGTCCATGTTCATACTCAGGCCTACCTGCTTGGAAACACTGTTGAGGTCTTCGAGCATTGTGTTTAGATCCTCCAAAGACTGTGCCATGATCACAATATCGTCGGCAAAACGCAAATGGGTGAGGTACTCGCCGTTAATGTTGATGCCCAGTCCTTTCCATTCTAGGAGCTTGAAAGCGTCTTCCAGAGCAGCGGTAAAAAGTTTTGGTGAGACAACATCACCTTGCCGAACACCGCGCTGCACTGGGATGGCCTTCGTACACCGATCTTGTACTCGGACTGACATATTGGCGTTCTTATACAAGCACCTCAACACCTCGACGTATCGATAATCGATGCGACACCTCTGTAGAGATTTAAACACGGCCCAGGTCTCGATCGAATCAAAGGCCTTCTCATAGTCCACAAACGCTAAGCATAATGGCAGGTTATACTCTTCGGTTTTCTGTATCACCTGCCGCACCGTGTGTATGTGGTCCATGGTGCTGTAGCCAAATACTATCTATTGTAGTAAAATATTAATTAATTGTATATAATTTATAATTGTAATTGTAATCTCTTATAATGAGATTGAAATTGAAAGTTTATTGTTTTAATCAACAACAACTTTGTCAGCAACATTGATACTTCCGAAAACAATTAGATTTTTTAATTATTAAAAATTATACAGTTGTCAGTATATTTAATACATATACCGTTTTCATTTTATGTTTATTACAATAATACTTTTACGATAAAAGCAATCATCATTGTTCTTAAACTAAAAATCATTCAATAATAATCCGATTGATTTGAGTTTTCTTATAGAGAAAAATTGGCACACAATGGCACTATATAATTAATAACCTAAAAAGAATTTCGACTCGGGCAAGAACCGTCATCGTCAGCGTTTTGTGCTACGTGTGTGACGATGGCGGTTCAAGTCCAGCTAGAGTCGAAATCTTTTTCTATTTTTAAAATTGACTAAGAAATGTTAAGTAGATAACACTTCTATGTGTGTAATATGTTAAATAGATAATACATGAATTTTATCTAAAGCTATATTCAAAATTTATATTTCTGTTATATACAAAATATTACGATTTTTGTCATTGTATCCTGAGCCATAGAAAACTAACTTTAAGATATAGTTCAGATCTATTTTAGTATCGCTTGCTGCATCACTAAATTCTTAACACCATAAAACATATAACAACATTTTTAATTATTTTGTATCCTTCAAGGTTCAACTATAATAAGTCATTATAAAATATCCTTAGAGTTGAAAATGATACTTGTTTAATTTCCTGTTGATTGTTTTACCTTGCATTTTTAATTATAGTTGTTATTAATAAAATAAAAAACTTATAATTACTTGTAGGTTAGGAACAAGCCATTACCATAAAATGTTATTTTCCACGCTGGTAAATGAGTATAATAAGTAATCTAAAATATAAATATTGCCATTTTTTTCATAAATTTTCCAAATGGAGCCAAATTAGTTAAAGTTAATGATTAGAAAAATAAGCAGACTATAAGAAACGTGGGTTATCTCGATCTCGCCTGTTCATTATTCATCTTTTTTTTTCTACAATATATCGCATTTATTTATTTATCTAGATTAACTTTGTCACTTTTTTATGATAGAGGAGGGCAGACAAGCATGGTGTTCTCTTGATCTGCTGTCAACCTATTTTGGCTTTGGATATTCGAAAATCACAGACTGAAACGGAAACGCCATTAAACTCAAAAGACGGATATTTCATCTGTGCATGACCTAGACGGAATGTCGATATTCCTATCATCTATTTAATATCCAGGTATTTAGACGAAGTCAAAAAAAAGTCGAAAAAAAATCTTAAATTCTGAAAAAGATTAGAAAAGATTAATTGTATGTTTACTATCGCTTTTGAAACGACAACTTAAGTTCAGTGTATTACTCCTACTTACATGCTTATTATTGTTTTTTCTAGATTCTTATTGAAATTTAATAATATTTTTGGCCTAACTTTTTACCTTATATTATAAGTTTTCAGTGATTACCAAGTCGAAGACGATAAGAAATTTCAGGAAGTGGCTTTCAAAGTTGAGCGATTATTCTAGAGCCATTGTTTTTCCATTTCGCTTAATAGAAAATCTTCAAACAAACTCTTGGACATAACTTCATTATCCTCCTCCATTAACCCGGTGCTTGCGGGCAAAAAAATCCTATTTCGCTTAGGAGGTGCGTGAATTTTGGTATTCCGAAAACCCCCGGGGCTAAAGGAAATTGTTAGGAGGACAAAGGTCTCGTTGTATCTTTTTATGACCGCAACTCGATACGAAATTGTTTCCGACGCCAACAGGTGCGTACCACAAAATCTTGGTAATTCAATTCAAACTTTATCAAGGACGATGTGGGAATTCAAAAGTATTATTTCTCAGGTTTCGTAATATTCTTTGTTTAATCAGAACGAAGAGTCGATTCAAAGAATTTTTACTTCTTACATAACCATAGAAAGCATTTGAAAACTTTTAAAATGTTTACAAGTTCTCTAGTATTGTTAAAAGAGATGGGTCGAGTACTCGGTTGATATTCGGTACTCTGCGTAATCGGCGGGTTTTTTGATACTCGTACTCGGCCAAATAACTCAGTTATACTTTGTTATTTGAGAACGAGTATACTTTGTTTAAGAAAAGCAATATTTAAATAAATTAAATTAAGGTTAAAACAACAATGTTATCCAAAAGTATTTTTAGTTAAAATTAAAATTATGCTCTTGAATGAGACAAAACTACGAGACTACGAGAGCGTGCCGTCGTTTGACCGGCGTAAACCTGTGTGTACTTTTGTAAATAAAACCATCAGCTTTATATATTATTGTAGATTAACGACACGGGCGGGACATGTTCCAGCATCCACAACGTTCCGTGCTGTTCCTCTCACTATAATAGCCACCGTGTCTTACACGTTATCGTCGAATCTTTTAACCTATTTATACAAACACCTGCGCAATAATTTGTGTATTATTTGATTTTTAATCAATAGATAGTATTTTACTACAATTAATAATATTACAATTACAATTATAAATTATATACAATTAATTAATATTTTACTACAATAGATAGTATTTGGCTACAGCACCATGGACCACATACACACGGTGCGGCAGGTGATACAGAAAACCGAAGAGTATAACCTGCCATTATGCTTAGCGTTTGTGGACTATGAGAAGGCCTTTGATTCGATCGAGACCTGGGCCGTGTTTAAATCTCTACAGAGGTGTCGCATCGATTATCGATACGTCGAGGTGTTGAGGTGCTTGTATAAGAACGCCAATATGTCAGTCCGAGTACAAGATCGGTGTACGAAGGCCATCCCAGTGCAGCGCGGTGTTCGGCAAGGTGATGTTGTCTCACCAAAACTTTTTACCGCTGCTCTGGAAGACGCTTTCAAGCTCCTAGAATGGAAAGGACTGGGCATCAACATTAACGGCGAGTACCTCACCCATTTGCGTTTTGCCGACGATATTGTGATCATGGCACAGTCTTTGGAGGATCTAAACACAATGCTCGAAGACCTCAACAGTGTTTCCAAGCAGGTAGGCCTGAGTATGAACATGGACAAGACAAAAGTAATGTCGAACGCCCATGTAGTGCCTACCTCTGTATCTATTGGAAGCACTGTACTCGAAGTTGTTGATGAATACGTCTACCTGGGTCAAGTAATACAATTAGGTAGATCCAACTTCGAGAAAGAGGTCAATCGTCGAATCCGACTCGGCTGGGCAGCATTCGGGAAACTAGACAAAGTCTTTTCATCCCGTATACCTCAGTGCCTGAAAACTAAAGTGTTCCAGCAGTGTGTGTTACCAGTGATGACGTACGGTACCGAAACATGGTCTCCTACCGCGAGCATGGTGCACAGACTACGCGTCGCTCAGCGTGCGATGGAAAGGGCTATGCTCGGAGTTACCCTGCGCGATCGAATCAGGAATGAAGAGATCCGTAGAAAAACTAAAGTCACTGACATAGCCCATCGAATTGGCAAGCTGAAGTGGCAGTGGGCTGGGCACATCGCTCGAAGAACTGACGGCCGTTGGGGCAAAAAGGTTCTGGAGTGGAGACCACGTACCGGACGTCGAAAACCTGGACGACCTCCTACCAGGTGGACCGACGACCTGGTCAAGGTAGCGGGGAAACGCTGGATTCAACTGGCGAACGACCGGTCGTACTGGAAGTCTATGGGGGAGGCCTATGTCCAGCAGTGGACGCTGAACGGCTGAATCGATCGATCGAGATAGTATTTTAATAAATTAAAACAAAAACCAAGGTTTTGTTGGTAACTACTGTAACTGTAACTACTGTCTCCTATGTTATATTGCCAAGTAACATATGACATGACTACGATAGACTAGAGAAGATAAAAATCCTTATTAATAAAAATAATCAGCAAAACAGAAATTTAAAATATGAGTCCCTACACTATATTTCCGATAATTCAACTCAAACTCAAATGTATATTTACTTGGGTAGCCACTTACTTACACACGTTTATTTTACAAATTTACAGTTACTATTAATAAGTTTGAAACCTTACATTGTATTGAAACAACGCGAATAGACCCCGAACCGAATACAATAACTTGAAAACACCACCGAGAGTTATACGCAAGGCTTTCATGGAACTACAATGATATTATTTCGAAACACAATACATTCATTCACTCACCGGCCTATGTGTACAAAGGGCGACTTGGCGGCCTGTTTATTAGCAAGCACACGAGGGTTAGTTGAATGCTTATAGACGGCCTATGTTAATGTGAATTACCATTTGCATAATCATGCGAACATGTTTTCCTCTACGCGGGAACGCAAACAGATCTATAGGCTGTAAAATAAACATGGCCGCACGAAAGCGGTTATCGGGTTCACTATTGTTGGGAACGGATTAATTATGGATTTGTTTAGTCCGATATTCATACGCTCAAATAGTTTACGACTTATTACGGCGTAGCTCTTTCGTAGACTTAAGGGCTGAAGTTAAAAATCATTTTCAAATAAGTTTAACTAATATATCACGTTTTAAACCGTGAAAGTGTTTTATTTAAATGTGTACTACTCGCGTAAACTATAGATAGTATTTTATCTTTTTTTTTCTGAAACATGTTAGACTTCGTGTTGAAATCCCTGTAGGGTGACTCGGGAGGCCCGCTTATCAATAAGAACAAGCTTATGGGCATCACTTCGTGGGCCGCCCCGACGTCGTTACTAGGGTTTACTCGAACCTGGACTGTATTGTGAAGAAAATAAAAAAGTAAACTACCTAAAAACGCATCTTTAGATTAATTCAGATACGATTTTCTCTTAATTTAATGTTCCAAAATATACAATATATTTTGGAACTTTAAAACTCCAGTACCTTTTACAAGCTACAATTCAACTTTCTATCTCTTTAGTTGTTAGATCTGTCATTGCTATAACTTGACCAAGATATGTATACTCGTCGACATAATCGATGACAATTCCATTTATCCTAACAGTCTCTTTGTTACTATTAGACATGCCTTTGGTTTTTGATAATTCATGTATAGACCTGCTTGACGGCTTTTTATGTCCAGGTCACAAAGCATTTCATTTAACTCGTTGGATGAGTTGGACATTATAACCAGGTCATCAGCAAAACGAAGGGGGTTCAGTTTTTTTTTCGGTTTATAGGTATGCTGCCGTCTTTTCAGTCTAGTTGTCTGAATATTTCTTCGATTTCTGCTAAAAGTAGCTTGGAGGATAATGATTCACCTTGCATCCGGCCTCTTCTTATTTTTATGTCCTTGCCTTCTCGCTCCAACTTTATTCTAGCGATGCTATCTTTTGGATGCTTTCATAATTTTTATATATGTTGTTTCTATTCCCTAATTTCTAAGGGCTTTCCAAATTGTGCCATGTTCTAGAGTCAAATGCTTTACTATAGTTTATAACCAAAGTATATTAGTATAGGATGTTATATTCTCTGCTTCTATTTATTACCTGTTTTACGACATGAATATGGTCCATTGTTGCAAAGTTGCTTCTAAAACCAGCCTGCTCGCGTTGTTGACTGTCTTCTAATCTTTTTGTGATTCTATTCAGAATTACTTTAGCGAAGACCTTATAAATATTTGACATTAGGCTTATTTGCTTGAATCTCTTTTAATGAAAAGAAGAGTTATTGTAGAGACGTACCACTGGTCTGGAATTTTTTTGCTGTCTATTATTTCATTAAATATTTTAGTAAGAGATTCTGATAGTACCTCCTTAGAAGCAAGTAGTATTTCATATGTAAAGTAAAGTAGAACCTGACCGCGATGGTTAAACGTGATGCCTAGCATTACGTTGCGCTCTTCTTCGGTTCTGGGTTCGAACGTCGTTTAAACAATAAATTGTTTCAGTCAGGCAGGACACAGAAGACTGACTACCTACTTGCCTCTAAATATAACCGTCCAGTAAAACGGACACAGATATGTATTATTACAAACGGTGGATTTGTAAGACTAGATATCCATCGTAGCGTAAAGCCGGCTGTCCACTAGACGTGGTCCGCGCGAGCGTTATTACTGTAACGGAGACAAATTGCGTCTGTCATGAAGTCACTGAGAGCTTCGACTAAATATGTCGGTCTAAGTTTTAAGATGCTACCATCACGTCGCTATTTCTACTAAAAGAAGTGACTACGCGCGAGAGACTTTGGTTCTACTCCCTCGAAAACACAATTGTTTCGATCTTTGTCACGCCCTACGTTAGGAAAACGACAATTGACTTCTTTTTTAAGCTTAATATTACGTACAAGTAATGTTTCTATAATTTATTTTGATTCCATAAATGTTCCATGGTTAAAAGTTTTTTAATCCAATAAGTAATTCGTATGCTTATTTTTAATCTTTGCAGGGTGACTCGGGAGGCCCTCTTGCCGATAAGAACACGCTCGTGGGCGTTACTTCGTGGGGAGTGCCGTGTGCTAAAAGCAGTCCCGACGCCTATACCAGGGTGTACGCGTATCTGGACTGGATTAATAAGAATATGAAAAAGTAGCCAAACTAGACTACTCACGAAAACATCGATACAATTATGTATTCCACTTTATGTGATGAGTGTAGTAAACATTATTTCATTGTTGTTTGTTTTTTTTGAACCTAAGAATCAAATTCAACTCTATTACAATATTACGCAATTAGTGTACAGCGTCGTTGTCGTTAATACAAAAGTAGGAAAAGCTTACTATGCACTAATGTATAAGTAGTAAACTCAAATTGGAATTACTAATGATGCTTTAGCAATTTTTAAATTATTTCTAGACAATGGACAACAAATCGTTAAGATTGAAAAAATTTAAAGCTCTATCAAAAATGTAACATTTGGAATACCTCAAGGATCCATCTTGAGGCCGATTTTAAATTTAAAAGATAAGGGTGAATTACTTAAGCTTGAATTAATGAAGCCAAGAATAAACTTCGACAAGAAATCCGTTGCTCCGTTGATGAGAACAGTTCTTTAATAGTTTACGCTTAAATATTAACAATATTACTAATTACGAAGTCCTTAAAATGGTGTTGAATGATGTATAATCGAACAAAATATTATAAAATTATTCTGACGATAATTTCAATGCGATTCAAAGGTACAAATCTGTCAGGGCGAAGTAAAACAAAACGAGGAGGATTTGTTTCAGTACTGCAAGGTATTTGAGCGTTTTCAATAAAATCAAATATTTTATACTTTGTGAATGAAGGAATTAAAAACGTTCCGTCGCTCAAGTGCAGTGGTAGACCTGGTTAGTTAAGGAAACTCGATTATATATCGGCCGGATAGATGCAGGGGGAATTTAAAGAGCCTTTATAGATGTGGTATCTCTCTTAAGACATACTACGTCTATACCGACGTACGACGACGGTTCCTTAGTACCGAAACTGGTTCGCGTAAACTGCTAGACGGTTTCTTTACCGGTTAAAAATTATGTTAAATAAAACAATGTATGTAAAAAAGGTAAATTAAAATAACCTTAACGTAGTGTTTGTTTCATAATTTTTAATTTTTAGTCATAATTTTTAATATAAAAATATTTTTAAATTAAATTCGTACTACCTACTCGCCCAACGACGTATTATACTTTAAGGGTTGGTAATAGAAGTGTCAAGAAGGTTGTCACACGAAATAAATAAGTGTCCAAAAAATAAAAAGGTTATGAAAAATAATAGTAACCGTTTTTCAGATCTATTGTACATAAATTTAATATTTTATAATACTCAGGCTCAGTTGAGCCGTTGCGTAAGTGGTAAACTAACAATTATTAGGACTAACATAACTTATATTCGATTTTTTGAAACACGCTAGAGTCAGTAGGCGATTTCATTATTAATATAAGCCATATGGTGTCAACATTATAAAAAAACTCATACACGAAACTAGATAATTAGAAAAAAATATGAGTTCTTATTGAGGGTCGAGGATAGTTAGTGAACGCAACTTTAATTAAGTTTTAAATATAGACACACAGTGTCTTAGACTTTTTTTTAGATAATTGAAAGAGGAATCATTTTCCCACATCTTTTTGGGTATATTGAACCGTTTTCGGCGTGCGCATCGGACACCCACAAAGATGAATTTTCCCCTTTTTTTTACATTTCACGTTGTTTCTTCGCTCTGATTAGCCATAGCGCGATGTTAACATTTGATAGCCTTATAGTCTTCCTCGATGAATGTTCTAACCAACACAAAAATAATTGTTGAATTCGAAACAGACAAACTCTACAGCTTTACATATTATTATAGATAAATAGGTGTGGTTGTAAATTAGCTACACAATAAGCGTTTTAATTATGGTATTTACAATAAAAAATATTAATTAGAAATGAGGTATATAACATGTCTGTCGAAGGAAATTGTTATCAATATTATTTAGTATAAGTAACTGAAATGATTCGATTATATTATATCCTCGCTTTAGCGGTTTTGACACATCATGGTGCTCAAGGTAAGTCCAACAACAACTACAATAATTAGAATTATTATTATACATTATTACTTCTGAGGGATATAACCAATTTTATTTATTATTTGTCTACTTTTAGGTTAGTGACAAAATTAAGTAGAAAGTTTGACATAAATTGTATTTTGGAGAAAGTCGTAAGATATGACCGGTTAAATCTTTATGCATTCTAATATATAAAGCTGAAGAGTTTATTTGTTTGAACGCGCTAATCTCAGGAACTACTGGTTCGAATTGAAAAATTATTTTTATCTTAGAAAATTTATCGAGCAGCGGTAAATATGAAAAAAAGGGGAAAATTTTCATCTCTGTGGGTTCCGATGCGTGCGCTGCGAAAACGGTTCAAGATACTCAAAAAATATATATGAAAGAAGGATTCCTCTTCGAATGATCTAAAAAAATGTCCCTGACACTATATGTCTATCTTTGAAGAGTAACTTTCACGACGGGTCGCAAGCGACGAGATGCGTCCGATGTCGATGTTTTTTAAGTTTTTTTTCGGTTTAAATCTATAAAGATGAAGGAGGTTTACAAAACCTAATTTGGATGTCTAAAATAATTATTCGAATTGGACGAAGTCGCTGACACAGCTACTTTGCTGCAATTGTGTTGCGCGTTCCTCGACTTACGAATGCTGACCGAAGGAGCTTTACAAATACCATTATACAATTAATAATTGTATAAGTATTAGTTTGTTTCAATCATTTTCTAAACTATCTAAATTTACTACAACTATTAATTATCAGGTGATCAGGGTTTCGAGGATGAAACACGTATAGTAGGGGGCCAGGAAGCAGCAGACGGGGAGTTCCCTTATCAAGTTTCTTTGAGGCGGTATGGAACCCAACATTTCTGTGGCGGTTCCATCATAGCATCACAGTGGATTCTTACAGCGGCGCACTGCACTATTAAGTAAGTGTTTTTTTTAACCCTGTGCAAGAAATTATGTCAAAATCAGTTATGTTCGTGGAACAACTAAAGGTCTATCTCTAGATAACGCAGCGTCGTCTGAGTTTTAAGAAAGGAGAAAAATTATCAAATTTAGTTCTACCCATTATTGTACGGTTGTACAATACAATATACCTACTTACCGAGTTTCTACGACTACGACGAGTTCCATTTGAATACTGAACCCGAAGATATTCTTAGCGTTGCCAGTAACAAGGGCGGTATACTGAAGATTTTTTATCGGTAGGTATCTGAGTTTACCGCTTTTAGGTTATATGTTTAAATTTGCAGAAATAAAAAAGACGTCAAAGTAGTAGCCGGAACTAACAGCCTTACAAAAGGCGGAGACAAATACGACATTGAGGAAATTATACAACATGAAAGCTACGTTTATGCTTCTTTGGTAAACGACGTTCAGCTCTTGAAACTGACCAAGGAGATCAAATTCGGGAGCAAAGTTGCTGCTATAGACTTACCCACTAAGGATACACCTGAAAACGTCGCGTTGGTTACATCAGGGTGGGGTTACATTAACGTAAGTTAAACCTGTTTTAACACTAATGCCCGGGACCGATCAGGGAGCTAGTTTATGTGTGCCGCCACCTTCTAACTTAAATAATAAATAGACAACAATTGCAAGTGGATTGATGATGTTGTTCTTACAAATTAAAAAAAAATATCGTTAAAATAGACTAAATAAAAAGAAATTCAACTATTTGCTATTCAGGATAGATAAACCATACACGGGTACCGATTAAAACTGTAACGCCATTTGGCAAGGAATATTATAAAAGGGGCTTATTTAAATTATAAATTATATCACTAATGTGTTAATAATATATTGTTTATAGAATAACAAGCAAATGCCAGACAAATTGCAGAAGCTCAATGTTAAATCTTTGACCGTTAAGGAATGTCAAGAGAGTGGCGTAAAAATATATCAAAGAACCCACAAGATTACGGATAAGCAAATCTGTGCATTTAATAAAGATAAGACTGGTGCCTGCCAGGTAAGTCTCTTTACCGTCGCATAATTCTGACCACTATGCCTTACGTTGCATTATGCGCGAGATGTTTCGGTCGGGCTGGGTTCAGAAGTAACAGAACGCACGCATGCTAAATAAATTGGACATTGGAACAGGCCCAAAAGTAAGTGCTTCGCACGCCTTACATTTGGACAACGACAATTCACTTCTTTTTTATATTTATATATAGATAGTCTTTCTATAATTTATATGGAAAATACATGTAATTTTCCAATGTTAAAAGTGTCTTGAATTCACGTAAATTATTTTTAATCTTTGCAGGGTGACTCGGGAGGCCCACTTGCCGATAAGAACACGCTCGTGGGCGTCACTTCGTGGGGAGTACCGTGTGCTAGAGGCAGTCCCGACGTCTACACCAGGGTGTTTGCCTATCTGGACTGGATTAAAAAGCATATGAAAAAGTAGCCGAACTAGACTACTCACGAAAACATCGATACAATTATGTATTCTAGTTTGTGTTATGAGTACAATAAACATCATTCATTGTAGTTTGTCTTTTATATGCCGTAAGAATCAAATTCAATTCTGCTATGCGCTACACAATATAAAGCTATCAGTGTACATTTAAACTTTTGAGAAAATAATCCGACTTTTTTTTATTTTTCATGTTTTTTGGAAATTCTTGTTTTTATTTTATTTTTTCTTTGTGCTTTTTATTAGTACCAGTAACCTTGTATGTATCGATCGAAGAAATTACAAGGTTGTCGTAGTTAATACGAAAGTAGGAATGGTTTAACTATATACGAGCAGTAAAGTTCAATTAGAATTATTAATAAATAATCATTTTCTCTCATGTGAATCGTAAAAAAATGTGTAATGATACTAACGTACGGTTAATGCTCAACGGGTTGTGAGTTCGTTTCCCACCGGAAGCAACATTTTTCAAACCAAAATTTTTAAAACATGTTGGACTTCTTCTGGAAATCTGGATAATAGACCAATGTCTATAGAAAAAAGCCGTGACGCTCAATCGCTTTGGTTTGAGTCTGTGGATTTCCGAATAACCAAAAATAGGTCGATGGCGAATTCCGTTTAGATTCCATGTATGGAGTATTTCACCTACCATCATGTGAACTCCATGCTTGTCTGTTCTCCTCAGTCTCCTAATATAAAAGTGATATAGAGATAATCTAGATAAATAAATAAATACGATAGAATGTACAGAAAAAAATACGCTTCGTAATAACTATACAATTTTAAGGCCTTAACAGGCGAGAACAAGATAACCCACGATCCTTACAGTCTGCTTATTTTACTAATTACATTGCCCTTAACTAAGTTGCCTTTTGGAAATTAAAAAAAAAATATTTATTTCTGTTTGAGGTTGGTTTTTTAAATAATATTTTACCTAAGCTGACGTTTATCCGACATCTTTCTATTGATATGATATTAAAAATATATTTTATTTTTATTAATAACGACTCAGTCTTAGATAGGTACCAATATTAATTGAAAATGTAAAGTTTAAGCAACTATCGATTTTAACCGCAATGTTGTATTTAATAATGAGTTATTCTAATTTAACCTTCAAGGATACAAAACGATTAAAAATGTTGTTACATATTTTAAAGTGATAAGTAGTGCAGTAGCGAACTCATAAAAAATAGATCAGAATTATATATTTTGGTTAGTTTTGTGTGCACTCGGGATGCAAAGACAAAAATCTGAATACGAAGTTTAAAAAAAAGCTATACTTAGATAAAATTTATTTTGTAGTTGTATCATATTACTACATTCACAATAAAAAATTTCAAACACTAAAAGTAGATATATAGAAGTTTGGTGAAATGGTAGATGGTAGAAAGTACAATGATAAAATTATATATATTCTAGTGCGCAAGATAATTACAATGATAGATGTAAGCTAGTTAGGCAGTTGACTTTATTGTTTAAATGTAATTTTAACCTAGTCTAAAGAATTTTGTTAAGAAAACTTGTATTTATCAGAATTGTAGTTATAATAAGCCACAATTGTGTGTTGAAGATAACTATGTAGCTTACGACGATGTGATTTAACTTCTAAACTTTAGATTTTCAAAGAGTCGAGATTAAGATAACGCACGATCCTTAAACAGCTTGTTATTTTGATATCCGTTTACCCCTAATGAGAGTACCTTTTTGAAAATGTTAAGCAATTTTTACGAAAAAAAAAGTACCATTATTTTACCCTTTTATTTGCTTTTTGCGCTTAATTAACTCCTATACAAATGATTAAGATAATACTATGTACTGGATGGAAAATATCACCTTAATTACTAACAGGAAATTAAGCGATGGCTTTTATAAATTAAAATATAAATTTTGTTATAATAATTACTATTGAATAAGTAATACTATAGGAACAATCTCATTAAAATGGTAATATACATTTTTAAATAAGTATGTACTAGTGATGTAGAATTACAGTTCTGAATGCTAACAAATAAAATAGTTCGTTTAAGTAATCCAAGTTACGACACAAATCACAATTTTCTTGGATCTCTAGATAAATATTTATAGCCTGAATTAACCGATATATTATGAGATATTATTGTATCACTAACACAACTGTATATTCTTGTACATAAGGTAAACCTTATAACAAATAAAAAAATTTAAGATCCACGAAGTACTCGAATTTTTTATTGTTAACATATTATTACACAGAAAAAAATGGTATTTTTTTCACGTGTTTCGAATCCAGTCCGTTTAAAATCAATTCCAGGTGTTCTTAGTCAATAAAATTTTCCACAAAGTATAATAGAGTTAGAAATGGTGAAGGCCACATATTTGACAAAGAAAATAAAATGGCCTTGTAATTACAGTGTGTACTGTAGGACTGCTGAGTAAATATGTACATATAAGTAAGGTAATAGATATTAATAGCGTATATCAATTAGCTACACTGTGCTTCTTAATATATTCATAATTTACATATTAATTTCAGTAACAATTTATAATACCTATATAAAATGCTCAAAGATCGATTCATAATTTTAAGCTTATCAAGTAAAATCATACCATTTTTTATTAAGCGAAAAATTCTATGATCTCGTAATGGCAGTTTTAATACCATTAAATAGTAAAGATTATTTTTGCTATTACTATTCTAATTAGTAATTATTTTTTATTTATATTTTTTGATAACGTGATATATGTATAATGTTCAATGTCAAATCAAACTATGTACTATCAAATAAATATTCGGCCATGTTTTAAAATTTAAAATAATATTCAATTCTCACCTCGATTAAATAATTTCAATTTCGATTTTTATGACAGCGGAGGACAACATGTGAAAAAGCAGTAAACTTTGCGTTAGGGAAATCTCCAAAAACGGGACAGGTTTCGACTATTATTCACCCAACTATTTACAACTATTAAACTTGTGAAGCAAAGTCCCGATCGGCACATTTCTAGTGTCTAATTTTAAAAAAGAAACTAACAAAACAAAAATTGTCTTAAATAAAATTTAGAGTTAAATTAGGAATTATCAAGACAAATTGTTTCAATTCCCAAAACTGTGAGGCTCTCAAGTGTTAATGGAGTAAGTTGGGAGCTGCTCTAATCAATTGAGCTATCGTGTCCCACACGAAATCGTTGAATTTTTTTACCTATTAGTACCAGGAGCTTTGTAATTTTAACCTTTATATTAACGTGTTGTGATTGAAATTACAATATCTTATGATTCAGAGCAATCCTGCCTCCCATGTCCCATACTGATGATAATTTATAGTTCATCAGACTTCTGTATTATTCTCCTACTACTAAACAAAAGTTATTATTTTCCCTGTTTTGACCCCGAACCTGTCGTCCTTAACATCATCCTCGCCAACATTGGTTTTTATATTTAGTAATAAGTTTTATATAATATGTGTGGTTTATGGGTAAAAAAATATATTTCTTTCTCTTTCTTAAGGATGTGCGATATTTTTTCGTTGCTTATTACCTCTTTGCTTAAAATATATTATCTAACTACATACGAACATAGTTATTGCAATAGGAAAAAAGTATTATTTAAATAAATAAACATTGTAATAAAACACTAACTGTTTAATTCGCGATATATATTAGTTTCGAATGTTTTGCAGCAGCCTTGGTCACGGGGATACGCTGCCAAGCATCCGAAACGTCGAGTCGTAGTTAAAATAATTTTGAAACAAATATATATCGCGTTTTGAACTGTTAAAGTGTTTTATTTAAAAATATTACTTGACAACTTTTCGATGTAAGAACGTACTTTATAGTTTATACTTAGTGTTCTACCTAACCTGGTGCAAAGTAAAACTAGATAAGTTTAATTGTCTCATTACTATCATCAAAAATTAGTTTTTAGAAGTCCAAGAATAATTAAAAATTTAAGTCAAGATAAAATAACTGCCTCCTGTATGTAGGAACCGTTTTATCAGCGGCCCGCGTAACAAAGTAAGAGTCGCGGATAGTTAGCAAATGTTATAAAAGGGAACCCGACTAGAGCCATAACGAGTACGCGACGGACCGTTAACAAGCGTTCTATTCGTTACTGTATTGGCGCTTGTTTTACACTTTCGTCTCTTACACTTTTGAAAGCATTAATATTTTTTACATGTTATTTATTGCACATGATGGCATTATACTCGCATACATTAAAAATCGATTGAGATTTAAAATAAATTACGGCATTGGCGGTCTTTAACCAGCATCCACAGCGTCCCTTGCTTTAGCTCTAACTAGAAACTTACAAAATATTGTATTCTACTGGTTGAGCACTTTCATTTGATACCCATATTGATGGGATTGATAAGACCTACGTTATCCGCCATTTTGTAGCGGCCGCCATCTTGAACTTATAATGATAATTAATAAACAATTTTATTGTCACCAAAATCCAAAGTGTATACATAATTTCAGATTAATCGGTTGACAGGAAAAGGGTGAAATTTGAATTAATAAATTTGACTCAAGAATAAAACAAACGATGTGAGCTAAATAAAACTATTTAAAAAACACCCGCTTCAAATTTTAACATATATTTGCACTGTTTTACTGTTTCATCCAGCGTATCGAGAAGAGAAGTGACTTGTTTTTAAATGGTTTTATTTCAACATAAAATAACTCAAATAGAGAGTCGAACATCTTTTTAAATCGAGTGTTGCCAGTCAATATCAATATAATATATTGTTGGAAATCATCAGAAAAGCTAAACTACCCGCCACACTAAAGGCTATATAAACAAGCCTCAAGCAACAGCTCGTACACTTCTTTCGTTGCTCGTTGTACGGAACGGACGTGCTGCCCGGTCGATAGCATTTTGTTGAATTTAAATTTATTTAGTTGTGGTGTTATTTTGTTTTTATTTTAGTAAATCTGCTAATGATTTCTAAAATCAGTTGTGGGATAAAGATTTTCACGCCCTCGGATAATTATAATTTTTGCTTCTAATATCGAGATAGTTTTGACCGTTATGGGTAGATCAAGTGTGTCCCGATCGAAAGGGAAACGTATACGCGTAGAACGCTCACGAAGTAGATATTCGCGAGGTCTAGGGGTTACAACGTGCGTGTTCTCAGTCTTTAGAGACTATCGCCAGTCGCCACCGAGTCAGGTGAAAACCGTGAAGCCTTACGAGAAGTCGGAACACAAAGGACGGCCGAACGGTTGACGCAAAATGATGTTGAACAGCACAGGCGGGTTAACGAGGATCGGCTTCCACTACGAACGTACGAGGAAGGTGACCTTGTGTTTGTTATCAAATACTCGCAGTCGCAAGGGAAACTCGACCCAGTTATGCGGGGACCTTACCGGATCACCCAAAGGTCAGCAAATAACCGTTACAAACTGTAAGTCCTTGCTGGATCATACGGCAAGACGACATGTGCTGCAGCGCAGTTCCTGGTGCCTTGGAAAGGTGAATTGATCCCGGATATGTGTTCGACATTCTTTGTGCACTCTTTGTGTGAGTTATGATTTTATTCTTAACACTTTACTGAAACTGAAAGTACCTATGATGTGTAATGATATGTTTAATGATAAATTCATGTGAGGCGTTTGTCTGCGAGGTCCTTGGGCCCGGAGTAACCATGTCTTGGAGGTATATCGGAATGGTTATCCTAGGAGGGACCTCGAGAATAAAGTAACCATCCTGGAGGTAGATCGGACTGGTTACTTTAGTGAGACTCTCGGCCTAACTTGTTGGAATTATAGATTCAGAATAACTTTGTCCTGGAGGTAGATCGGACTGGTTGTTTATGTTAATTGTTATTGTCGATCTGATTGCACGTTTCATTTTAATTGGAGGATCAGGATAACCTCGTCCTGGAGGTATATCGGAGAGGTTATCCTGGGCGGACGTTAACAGGGGATAATCGTTCTTGGAGGTATATCGGATACGATTATCCCAGAGGTTAAATGTATTGGCTGGAATAACTAATTCTTTTGAAATGTTAGCTAACGGCACTTTTCTTTTTTTTGTCATTTTTACAATATTCAATAATGTCAGTATGTGTAATTTTCCCTTGGTTGTTTCTTTGTTTTTCCTTTGCTGCAGATGCAGACAATGAAATGGAGGCTACTTCAGGTATCGACCTACCTGTTGATGTTCTACAAACTATGGAGGCGTTTGAATTACAACCGGGTCCTTCTGGACACAGAGACACTCTGATTGCATAGCTTCCACTTCCAATGAAGAAAATTCACTGAAAATTCTTGACACGGATCAGGAAAGTTAAATTAATGGAGTCCGAGGACGGACTCCTGTCAGGAGAGGCCGTGTTGGAAATCATCAGAAAAGCTAAACTACCCGCCACACTAAAGGCTATATAAACAAGCCTCAAGCAACGGCTCGTACACTTCTTTCGTTGCTCGTTGTACGGAACGGACGTGCTGCCCGGTCGATAGCATTTTGTTGAATTTAAATTTATTTAGTTGTGGTGTTATTTTGTTTTTATTTTAGTAAATCTGCTAATGATTTCTAAAAATATAATCTCCAACAGCAATGTAAGTCACGTCACCGTCTTAGAATACTAAAAACATTGCCTTACATTTAATTAAAGGCGGGAGTCCGGAAGAACACTATTGTTTCGCTCTAGCAGGGCACAGAATCCACAGTTTGCACGCATGTAAAATATATTGACCACTGAAACCGACACAGTCAATTCTTTTTTTTTTTAATTGAAAAGGTATCTTGAATCTACGTAATAGCTTGTGTGCATTTTTTAAATCGTTGCAGGGTGAGTCGGTAGGCCCCATTGCTAATAAAAACACGCTTGTGGGCATCGTTTCATGGGAGATCCCGTGCGCTCAAGGCCGTACCGACGTCCTCACTAGGGTTTACGCCTATCTGGACTGGGTTGAAAAGAATATGAAAAAGTAACCAAACTAAATTGCCTTTTATAATATCGATACAGTAATGTATACCAGTTTGTGTTATAAGTGCGATAAACATTAATTCATTGTAGTTTTTCTTTGATTAACGCTCTTTATGTGCACTCACTTTCACTTTGATCTGTTCTGATCTGTCGGTAAGCAAAGGTCTCCACAAATAACAGCACAAAGGTCATTAGGTTCAACAAACCAAGCAGGGTAGGCTAGAATGTATGCTCCGAAGAATCATATTACTACTGCAATGGTAGTATGCAAAACTTGGCCTTTTACCAACACAGGTACCTACCGAAGGAACCATGCCCAGTCATCATCTAAAGTAAAATAAAAGCCAGGACACCTAGTCAACCAAGAGTCAAACACCAGAAAAACGGCAGAAACCGTTCACAAAGCAAAATTAGCATTTCTCAACCTCTCAGACCAAATTTCCAATTTATCCTTTTGCCTTATTCCATTAGAGAAAAGGCGTGGTCAAAACCACCCCCTTCGCTCTAATGAAATAATGAAAAAAAGCTCTTGCATCTAGATACCATGTACTCAGCAAGAAGACACGGTTCATAAAAAAAAACTTTATGATAATAACGAGTATCTCTGATAGCCGAAATTCTCTGCAGCCTTCGCAAAAGAAGCCTATCCTGACGTGTCAGAATGTCCACCTACATTGGGGCCCCATAAAGGGCCATAGATTGCACAATACCCATATTTGATTACCGGTATTCTCCATTCGATTAAGATTCTTTAACGTTCATACCAATTTTGAAAGAAAATATCAAGGCAAATTGTTTGAAAACATTAAGTCCCTAAAGTAATCGGGCTTTTCAGCCGTTCAGTGTCCTCTGCACCTGCTCATCCGATGAGCTACGGCGGATTGTCGTGATAATTCCTGATTCATCTTCATTCACTGATCACGCAGAGTAACTCCGAAAATAGCCGTTTCCATAATACGCTGAGCGACGCATGGTCTGTGCACCATGTTCGCGCGAGAACATATAAATAATATTATTTTTGACAGATGAGGCCCTCGTGTTTGTGTAACGTAGACGAAACTCTAACTGATTATTTACATGTAGATATATAAGTAACACTACTAAGTAGCTGTTCGACAGCCATTAATCGGTATATTTTATTTTTTTCCATTTGTCATAGAACATAATGCGTAATTGTTAACAATATAAAAATCCACTACCTACTACCCATTTGCTTAAATTATAGATATAAACTAACGTTGCCTTCAATATAATTGAGATCACGATCTAATAGTATAAAAAATGCTATATTACTGACTAACTACTGATATTATTGTAAACATTTAGTTCGTAAAACTAGATGCCCATCGAAGTGTAAAACCGGCTGTCCATTGAACTTGATCTGCGCGAGCGTCATTGTCGTAACGAAGACAAACTGCGTCTGTCATGACGTCACTGCGAGCTACGACCAAATATGCCATTCTAAGTTTTAAGATGCTGCGATCACGTCACTATTTCTACTGGAAGAGTAACTGCAATACAAAATATAACTAAATTGTATAAATTTAAAATATTTAAATGCGAGCTATACTGCATTAAGCATTAAGTCGGAGATTCGAGTCCCGTCAGTGTCTCAAGACCTTTACTACTTCCATATAATTAAAATAACTTATGCAATACAGAATATTTTATGGAAAGTTTTTCTGAAAAAATTAACAGTTTTTAAATACAATGATATGTTTAAATTACTTTTTGTTATTAAGAGATAACTTTTTTGTCTTTATATTGTATGTGTTTCATTAAAACTGACTTAAAATTTGATGATGTAATGAACTTTATAAAACTAAACATCTGTACACACACATTTTACATAAATAAATATGACTTTTGGTTTGCCTCAGTTACCCAAAATGCAAAGAGGAACTTTGTATTTATTTTATTTTACAATAGCTGTGTCAGCGACTTTGTGCGCGTAGAATGGTTATTTTGGCCATCCCAACTTTTTTTGTTTTTCCCTCTTCATCTTCATAAATTAAAGTTCTTGCAAGTTAATCATGGATATTTTTTTAGATGATTTAAACATTATTTTCGAAAATTTTTTGGGTATCTTGAATCGTTTTCACAGCGTACACATTGGCATCTCATAGAGACTAATAATTTTTCCCTTATTTTACACATTTCCCCCTGTTTCTTCGCTCCTATTAGACACAGCGCTATGTTTTATGGCCTATAACCTTCCACAATAAATGCTCTAACCGACACAAAAATATTTTTTAAATTCAAACCAGTAGTTTATTGAGATTAGCGCGTTCAAACAAACAAACTCTTCAGCTTTATACATTAGTATATATTTATCTAACTAGCAAGTTTCAGTGCCGAAAAAAATGCTCTTCGAAATAGTTTAATCTATTGAGATACAATTTTCCATATTCCGTTTCATTGAAACATTAGTTACATTTCTTTATTTCAAATTTTATTTATATTATGCTCATCATACTTGGGACATGAAACTGGAGTTTGTAACTGACAAATGAAATGTCCTTAACTTTAGTTTTAAATATTTTATATATGTATATGACGGCGTATCAACATCGCTGTCACACAAGAGTGGCTGTCATTGGTAACATTAATGACAGCTACTCTAGCGGAGCGTCGTATCTATGGTAGATTGATTTTTTTGATTTATTTAGTAGGCAGGTACACAAAATAATTTATAGAAAGTAATTGAATACATAGCTTTTTATCTTTATAATATTGTACATTATGTACGGAACGCTATACATGTGTTAATTATTTTATTTATGATGGAAAATTTATAGATTAAAAAAGAGGGTATATAACATTTTAAAGGTGAAATTATCAATATTATTTAGAGTACGCAAGAAAAATGATACGATTATTTATTTATAGTTTTGATGCATAGTGGCGCGCAAGGTAAATCCGACAACAATTATTAATATTTGTCATAATTACTTTGGGATAATTTAGAACATATTTTAATTCTATTCTATTTCTAGTGATAATATTATGTAGATGATTTGATCTATTGTATAAAAAAAAAAACGAATAATCATTTTTATACCATTTTTATTTCTTGGTGACGGTACAAAAATTAAATATTTTCTTGGGTTTTTGAGTTCTTTCGAAAAATTTGTTCTCATAATTACCGCATGTTTAGTATAACATTCAATGTGGCAGGTGATCAGGATGTCTCGGATCAAACACGTATAGTGGGGGGCACTAATGCAGCAGATGGGGAGTTTCCTTATCAGATTTCTCTGAGATGGTACGGACAGCAACATTTCTGTGGTGGTTCTATTATAGCATCTCAGTGGATCCTTACAGCGGCACATTGCCCTATTACGTGAGTATTTTTTTAACCCTGTACAATAAATCATTACAAAATTAAATATAATCGTAAAACATATTTTTTAATGTAATGCAGATTTGGCGGACACGAATTATACATAATACAAAATAATAATATTTTGAAGACCTATTATTAGATACCCTATTTAGATGTCATGGGTTTTATGAAGAAAAATCTCATCAAGTGTCAGTACCAAGTATTGACAACAACCAAAAGTTATTGCCTTTTGTCCGTGAATAATATACTAATTTCAGTTCACAGAATACATCTACTTACATATCTAACAGTTATAGTTTCGGGAAAGAGGGTAACGACGTATAGACTGACACAGATTGAAATGACGAAAAAATCTCTAGTTCTAAGTTTTAGCCATAGCGGTATGCTAGAGATTTTTAAAACTACCTCTATCTGAGATTACCGCATATTGTTTGTTGAATTTGCAGAGATAAAAAAGATGCCAAAGTGATTGCTGGAACTAACAGTCTTAAATCAGGCGGAGACACTTACGAGATTGACCAACTCATAAGACATGAAAATTACAATAGTACTTCTTTCGCAAATGACATTATGCTTTTGAAACTAACCAAGGAGATCAAATTCGGCAAAAAAGTAGCTACTATAACCTTACCAAGTAAGAATACACCTGGCAGCGTCGAGTTGGTTGCATCAGGATGGGGATACGTTGACGTAAGTTAAATCGTTCATAGCACTCATGATTACGTTTATTTTATTTTTATTACATTCCATTATTGCCAAATACTGGGGTCACCTTAGACCAACATGACGTTAATAGACGTTAGTTTTTGGTGAACTGATGATATTGTAATTAAAATAGACTAAAAAAATAAAATATATTTAATTTACTAAATAATTATACATTTTTTATAGAACAACAAGAAAGTACCAGAGAAATTGCAAAAGATCACTGTAAAATCTTTGAGCGTCGAACAGTGTCAACGGAGCGATTTACGACGATTACAAAGAACCAACCCTATTACAGGAAAACAAATTTGCACTTATAGAAACAATAAGTCTGGTCTCTGCCAGGTATGACACTTCACCGCAGAATACTGAACCTTTTGTTTATAATAGAGAAAGATAGACAAGTTAAAAAAATGTCCAGGACAGTACGTTTCTGTCTTTTAAGATTTACTCACAAGAACTCAGTATACGTATACTAACTGTTTCTATAGCCTCATAGTTAACGTTGGCTTGCATTGCACTAAGCGCGGGATGCTAGGATGCGATTATCGGGAAAACGACGATCTTAGAACTGTTTATAGCGTTTTATTTACTCGTGTACATATTTTTAATCTTTGCAGGGTGACTCGGGTGGCCCACTTGCCAATAAGAACACACTTGTGGGCATCACTTCGTGGGGGATCCCCTGTGCTAAAGGTTATCCCGACATCTTCACTAGGGTGTACTCGTACGTGGACTGGATTGAAAAGAAAATAAAAAAATAAACGACCTAAACAGAACATCTTTTGATAAAATACCCAATCGTATGTGTATTTTATCAAAAGATTTAATTTATACTACATGTCCTTTTAATTATGAAACATCCATTTCAGGAAACGATGTTCCAAATAACGAATTTCAGTTTGTGTGTTTTGAGTTCAATAAAAATTATTCAAAATTTAGTTTTAATTTCTATAAGGAGATTATGCAAAGAGAGTATTTTATGGTCACAGTGCTATAGCTATTTTAAGGACTATTTACCGAATTGTATCTGATGCAGTTAAAAACATAATTTTGTACACTGATCTTTTAAGATCAAATGTCATCTAAAATGATAAAGATATTTGTGGTCATTCCTTAAAGTAAGACACGTAAGACTGACTTACGTTGAATAATCTCCTCGCCTCTGTCTACTGTGCCTGGTCTGAACTGGCCATGGTCTCGTAAGTGCTACGTAACGTATATAATTTTGAAAAAAAAATATATAAAGTGGCATAAAAACTATTGGAATGGATTCTGCTACTGATTCTGAACAAAGTACTTTCAGGTTTCGCATGAAAAAGGAAGAACCTTGTTTATATATATACGTATATCGATCGAAGAAACCACCGAGTAGTAAAGTCAAATTAGAATTACGAATAATGCCTAAGCTATTATGAAATCGCATCTGCACAATCGAAACTCAGCTCAAAACATAAAAGCTGTATGAAAAGTAATAGTAACCGTTTCTCAGATCTACTGAATATGCATATAATACTTCTTAACGATTGGTTGAGCCGTTGCGTTTGAGCATGGTAACTAACACTTATTATAATAGATTTTAATGAAATAGCTATATATAATATATAACACTAGCTTTAATAAATTGTGTAAGGCTTTCACGGCCATCGTTCAGCATATCATTGTCTTTTGGGCTGTTCGGCCGATGTGAGCGAGAAGATGTTCTCGACGTTTCGCCATCACGTGTGGACGGCATCATCAGGAGATGTTGACTACTCGATTGCTCGAAGAATTATGTTTTTTTTTTTATTGACTTTTTTCGTATTGTGTTCCTATGGAGCCACGAATACTAACCGGACATTTTGGGCGAGCGCATTAGCGCTCGCCGTGTTTGCGGCGGGTGTCCCGAGGGTGGCATCGGCCTCGGCTTGGACCGCCGCAATGCGGGTGGGAGCTTGAAGAGCTGGACGGAAGCTCACTCGGGTGAGCGGTACGCGTATGCCGCCTACGCCGGCGTAGGACGTTTTGCGGGCGCAGTTAATACAAAAGTAGAAACGAATGGTTTACCTACAAATAAGTAGTAAAGTCAAATTAGAATGATGCCTTAGCAATCGACAGCAAATTGTTACGATTAACAAATTAAAAAGCTCTATTACGAGTAACATTTGAAACATCTCAAGGATCCATTATGGGGTCATAATTATTTGTGATGTTTATAGATGATACAGGCGAGGTTGCATTAACTCGTTATTTAACATGTCATGCGGATGACACATTTTTCTCTTCTATTTTAGTAAAAATATACTTAATTTGGCTTTTCTCTCAAAATCGACTCAATGCTTTGTCCACTTATTAAAATCTCTACAAGTAACTCAAAATATAATGTAATATTTTTATTTCACAATGTACAGACAACAATTACAATGAATAATTATTTAAATTTACAATTTTTTACCTGATGGACAGAGACATGTGTTTGCCCCATGCCCCTCGGGAATAGATATTTTACAAGGTAGAGCTCGATAATTATTATTGTAAGTTCGTTTGTTACTATAAAAAATATGAATGTTCATCGTAGCGTAAAACCGGCCGTACGTCACATGTGGTCTGCGCGAGCGTTAGTACCGTAACGAAGACAAACTGTGTCTGTTATGACGTCACTGAGAGTTACGACCAAATATGCCGCTCTAAGATCCTGTGATCACATCACTATTCCTATTGAAAGAATTGACAACAATCCAAAATATGGCTAAATTGTATTAATAAAAAATGTCCAAAGGCGAGATTGTGGCATTGAATCAGAGATCCAAGAGGATCTCAATACGATATCGTATGACGACATAATGAATTTATATGACACATAAATATTGTGTATGTCGGCGAAAGCGATGGCTGAGCGGTAGCACCGTCACCATCTTCATTTGGTGGTACAGTGTTCATTCCACAGGCGTAGAATAATTATGTACACGTGGATTATAACCTCACCTTATTTGCAATGATTACAATTCGAATTAAACAGTGGTAAACCCACAGTTTCATTTTAGAGGTGTGAACTGTGCCGCGTCCCGAATAGGAATGCTTTCGTCGCAAAACCAACTCTCTAATACGACTCTGTCCACGTGCCACCATTAAAATAACAACTGACGTCACGATGTTTACCTCTCCCTCAGTACTACAATAGTCAAATCAGCAACTTAATATTTAGCGATATCGTTTTCCACGACATTTATATATATTCTTAATAACATAATGTGTTAAATTATAAAAATTAAGGCTAAAAAACATATACAACCAAATGGTATCTATTAATTTAGTTGCCATAGAAATAGTTTAAGCAATTTTGAGTTTACTATTTGTATTTAAATTTTACATTATATTTTTATCTTCTGTGATAAATTTTTTTTGAAATATTAGGGTAACATATATATTATTATTCTTTGCTTTTTTAAATAGTTGGTGGTGGATCGAGGGATGTGAAATTATGACTATTAAATTTATTTATATTTCAATATTACGTATCAATAACTATCAACGTTTGAAAAAATCCTTTCACGATTACAGTATTATAGATCCAATTGAACTTTTCCTAATTGCGTATCAAATGAGGAGTTGTATGAGTGAGTGTATACTGCTCTAAGAACTTACAAAGTTGTCGGGGTTAATTCGAGAGTAGGAAAAATCGACTTTAATTTAAGGTACCAAATTTTATTAATTGTTATATTCCTTTAAGTCTCTTTACAATAAAAATACAATGACGACCCAGGTCTTATTAAGCTACCGAGTCCTACACGTCGTCGTCGAATATCTTCAACCAATCGATATATTCGCCTCCCGAGCAATGTAATTTCAATCTTAACATGTTCATGTAGTGTAGTAGTACACATTTAAATAAAACACTTTTAATGGTTTAAAACATGAAATAAATAAGTTTCACTTTCCACAGTTTATTTTAACTACAGCCTAACATTTTATATGCTTGAAACTGCAGTTAAAATAAATTGTAAAAAGGTTAACAAATTTATGTCACGTTTAAAATATGTTCATCCTAATATTGAATTGTAACTATTATGCTATAAATTAATGAATTACTATTTTTAACGCACTTTTTACACACAAATTTATTAGTCTCTTTTACGCCAAGAAAAATATAATAAACAATATTTTATTAAAATTAATGGAGTATTTAAGCCCAGTATCCTGTTTTCTGAAATCAATATGTTAATAAATAATAGTAACGTTTAGTATTATTCTGAGTTCTGATGTTATTATAAACGGCAGGTTCATAAGACTGGGTGTCCATCGTAGCGTAAAGCCGGCCGTCCATTAGACGTGGTCCGCGCGAGCGTTATTACTGTAACGAAGACAAACTGCGTCTGTCATGACGTCACTGAGAGCTACGACCAAATATGAAAGCTCAAAGTTTGAATATACTGCGCTTATGATACTATTTTGTAAAGAAATAATAACAATCCAAAATATGGCTAAATTGTGTTATTTAAAAATGCCTAAAAGCCGGCTGTGCTGTTATGGCAATAGAGTCGGAGGTTAAAGTCCCGTCAGTGTCACAAGTCATTTTAGTTTATTGTTTTCATATTCCATATCAATAAATAAGTTACGCAACGCTAAATGGTTTTTGAAATTGCAGTTTTTTCAACAATGAAGAGTTTTTAAAAAGAGCCTCATTTTTAATTACTTTTTGTAATCAAGAGATAACATTTTGTCTTTATATAATATGTTTTTAATTAAAGCTGACAAAAATTTCGGTGATGTAATGAACGTTATCAAAGTAAACATCTGTACACACATATTGTACAATGTAAATATGACTTATGGTTCGCTTCAGCTGTACCCAGAATGCGTACAGATTTTTTTTTTCTTTTTAATAATTTGATAATTTTATTTCGGATATAGTGCTTTATCTATATTACAAAGATTAATCATCGAAGTCGTTTTATCAATTGGAATACAATTTTTCATATTCCGTTTTATTATTATTCATTAAAAGTTTGATTCTTAAATCTCTTTATTTTAAATTTGACTTACTACTCTCATCCTAGTATACATACTTGGGACTTGGAACCGAAGTCTAAAATTGATAAATGGAATGTTACTGTGGTATAATAACAATTAACAAGAAGAACAATTAAATTCAGCTAGCTGGGGTAGCTAGGGTAGCTGACTTTACTGTGCAAATTTTGTAGGTATACAAAAAAATTTATAATAAATAATAACATACACATCTATATCTTAATAATATTGTACATTATGTACAAAACTCTATAAGCGTCTTAATTATTTTATTTATGAGAGAAAATTTATTCATGAAGAAAGAGGGTATATAACATGTCTATTTGAAGATGAATCTATTAATAATATTTAGTGTATGTAAGGAAAATGAAACATTTATTTATTTTCGTTTTGGCGGTTTTGACACATAGCGGCGCGCAAGGTAATACTTTTGATAAATATTATTATTTTACACAATTATTTTTAATTGTAATAACTAAAATTCGCTTTTGCAAACCCCTTCATCTTTATAAACTTAAGCTGTTGCCCACGACGTCGGTCGCGTTCCTTCCCGTCGTTCTAGCCAATCATTCTTTCACACATAGTTTTGGGTATTTTATTTATTTTTTATTTATTTATTAAAACATGGAAAACTTACAGCTAATAACAATAGGATATTATATATAAAATATTACATATCAGAGAGCCAATTAAAAGTTTTCACTTTTAGCTTCAGAACTGTAAAAATTTACACAATTTTACAAGAATTTTACAAAAACTTTACAAAAATTTTCCAAAAATTTTACAGAAATTTTACAAAAATGCGAGCTTAGATTACGAGTTTGCAGAAACATTTTTTTTTGTCAATTTAATTAACAGCAATGAGTGTTAACTTATCCAGTACTATAAGCATTAGAAAAAATGTGAAATAAGATTATTTTTGCTAAGGGCACACTTAATAATCATGGACCGTTTTTGCAGCGTTCACCTCGGAACCCATAACTATGATTAATTTACCAATTTTTATCATACTTCTCGCTGTATCTTTGCTCGTAACAGTCACATTTAATTGAGTATAGCCTTCCTCGAGAAATGCTCTAACCAACACAGAATTTTTTTTAAATTCAAATCCGTACTTCCTGATTTTAGCGCAAAACAAACAAACTCTTCAGCTTTATATATAAGTATAGATAAAGATTATTATTTGAATTTTATATTTTAACATAAGTGATAATATTATGTAGATTTAGTCTAAGTCAATTTGTATTATTAGGAATGTCGTGAGTTGATGTACTTTAAACTAAAAATAAATGACTGTAGATAATTTTTATTCGATTTTAATTTGTGGATAACAGTTTGAAGTTTTAGTTTCTTGGGGTTTTTAGGCTTTTGGCCAATTTTTTTCTCGACGTTGTTCATGATGTGAATTGCAAAATGGCCAAAAAAGGCTTTTACAATTTTCAAAGTTTATTTTAATAATTACCGAATTTTTAAAACTACTATAAATAATCAGGTGCTGAGGATGTCTCAGACGAAACACGTATAGTGGGGGGCACTAATGCAGCAGATGGGGAGTTTCCTTATCAGGTTTCTTTAAGGCGGGGCGGAAGACAACATTTCTGTGGTGGTTCAATTATAGCATCTCGGTGGATCCTCACAGCGGCACACTGCACAATTAAGTAAGTATTTTTAAACGAACTCAATCGAATCGAATCCTTTGTAAGCCATTATTGTTGATTTGGTGAACACAAACTACATAGTTTAGAAAAAGTAAAAGTAAACTAAAAAATGTCCAGATTTACAATACCCAAAATTTTTTGTCTATTAAATTCCTAATGCGGTTATCTACCTAGTTTCAACAAATCTCATACTCTCTATATTTAAGCTGTATGTTGAAATTCGCAGAAATAAAAAAGACGTCAAAGTAGTCGCTGGAACTAACAGTCTTTCATCAGGCGGAGACACATACGAGATTGGTGAAATCATACAACACGAAAAGTACAATGGTTCTTCTTTCGCAAACGACATTAAGCTCTTGAAACTAACCAAGGAGATCAAATTCGGCAACAAAGTGGGTACTATAAACTTACCAAGTAAGGATACACCTGGCAAAGTCGAGTTGGTTGCGTCAGGATGGGGATACACTGACGTAAGTTAAATCTCCCTTAGCACTCATAATTACGTATATTTTATTTCTATTACATTTTATGAATGCATTAGGCTGGGCACTCTGGTCTCGTATACAAGAGAATGATCGAATGTTGCTTCAAGGTCGGTTGGCGAGCTGGTGAACGTCTCCAATGATATTAAACTTACATGTAAAAAAGACGTTCAGCATATCATTGTCTCTCGGGCTGTTAACTCCTCGATTGTAATTCTTCGAGCTATCGAGGAGTTAACATCTCCTGATGATGCCGTCCACACGTGATGGCGAAACGTCGAGAACCTCTTCTCGCTCACATCGGCCGAACAGCCCGAAAGACAATGATATGCTGAACGATCGCCGTGAAAGCCTTACACAATTTATCACACAATATAAAAAAAGACGTTTTTATAAAAGACTCAGAAAAAAACCTCTTAGCTAATTAAGTTATTCACAAGACCGAAAAGAACCACCGAGCGAGCACCAACACCAACACCATGAGCCAATAAAAGTTTTAAAAGTCTGCGTCTTTATGGTGTTTATGAAACCGTTTGGCAAAGAAAATAATAAATTTAAATGTATATTTAAACCGACATTAAAGTATAAAGGTATAAACATTTGTATATAATAATATGTTTTTTGTAGAATCGCAGAACAGTACCAGACAAATTGCAGAAGCTCACTGTTACAACGTTGAGCGTTAAGGATTGTCAACAGAGTGATTTAAAAAGATATCATAACACAAACCCTATTACAGAAAAACAAATCTGTATCTTTAAAAACAGTAGAACTGGTCTCTGCAACGTAAGTCATCGTCTCAGAATACTAAACACGTTGCCTTACATTTCTATAAAGGCAAATCGATCAAAGGATCGTAGGTTCAAACCCTGGGAAAACACAATTGTTTCGCTCTAGCAGGGCACAGAAGTCCAAGTAGAATGTGCACGCGCATGTAGAATATTTCGATCACTGAAACTAACACACTTGTTGCCCACGCCCTACATAGGAAAATCACCAATTTACTTTTTTTTAATAATATATTACAATAAATACCATTTCCGTTGACTGCAAGTAATTTCCATGATAAAAAGTGTTTTAAATTCACATAAATAGCTCTTTGCATATTTTTATTCTGTGCAGGGTGACTCGGGAGGCCCAATCGCTGATAAAAACACGCTCGTGGGCATCGCTTCGTGGGCGATACCGTGTGCCAGAGGCCGTCCCGACGTCCTCACTAGGGTTTACTCCTATCTGGACTGGATTGAGAAGAATATGAAAGACTAACAGAACAAAACTACATAAGGCAAATATCGATACAATCGATACGTATTGTACTTTACGTTTTGTGGGCAATAAACATTTATTCATTGTAGTTTTTCTTACATATTTAGCTATTTGACAGTAATACGCATCATTAACAATCGACGTTTGAAATAATCCTTTCACGATTACAGTATTATAGATCCAATGGCACCTTTTCCCTAATTGCGTATCTAATAAAGAGCTGTATACTGATCTAAGAACTTACAAGATGTCGCGGTTAATTCGAAAGTAGAAAAAATCTACTTTAATTTAAGGTACCAGATTTTATGAATTGTTATATTCCTATAAGTCTCTTTATATAAAAAAAAAATTACCACCCGGTTCGGACCTGGCCGCTGCTCTAATTGAGTTACCGTGTCCTACACGTCGTCGTCGAATATCTTCAACCAATTGATATAGTCACCTCCCGCGCAATATAATATCAATCTTAACATGTTCATGTAGTGTAGTACTACACATTTAAATAAAACACTATTAGTGGTTTAAAACATTAAATAAATTAGTTACATTTTCCACAGTTTATTTTAACTACAGCCCGACGTTTTAAATGCTTAAAGCTGTAGTGAAATTAAATTATTAAAATAAATTTATGTCGCGTTTAAAAAATATTAATTCTAATATTGAATTGTAGCGAACTTTTAATGAATTACTATTTTTAATGCACTTTCTTCACATACATTTATGTCTCTGTTAGTCTCTTTTACGTAAAGAAAAGTATAAAGTATTTACTTTAATAAAATTTATCGAGTATTTAAGCAAAGCGTCCTATCTTCTTAAATCAAGACGTTAATAAATAGTAGTTACGTATTATTCTCTCCGTTCTGATGTTAATATGATGGGAACGGTGGGTTCGTAAAACCGAATGTCCATTGTAGCGGAAAGCCGGCTGTCCATTAGACGTGGTCCGCGCGAGCGTTATTACTGTAACGAAGACAAACTGCGTCTGTCATGACGTCACTGAAAGCTACGACCAAATATGTCGCTCTGAGTTTTAAGATGCTGCGTTCATGTCACTATTTCTACTGAAAGTTTGTTTGTTGATTTAATGTCTGTAGTTGTTTTCGCGAGTAGACACATTTAAATAATACACTTTAATGGTTTAAAACGCGATATATATTAGTTAAATCTTTTTTATAGCTTACTGAGAAAGTAAACTAACTAGATCAAACTTTTATCCGGGACATTCTATGGAATTTAAACTACTATACTGTTTATTACGTATTAATATTACCTTAAAGCCGTTTCTTTTCGTATTAATTGAATTTTTATATTGATCCCATATCAACATTATAATTATTAGTACAATATATGTAATGTGTATGGCAAATACTGTCTGGAGTTTAAGCCAGTAATACACATTTAAATAAAATACTTAAACTGTTTAAAACGCGATGTATATTAGTTAACCTTATTTGGAAATTATATTAACTACGGCCCGACGTTTCGGATGCTTTTGCAGCAGCCGTCTTCCCGTGACCACGGCTGTCCGTTGTTAAAATAATCTCCAAATAGGTTTAACTAATGTACACCGCGTTTTAAACTGTTAAAGTGGTTTATTGTAATATGTGTAATCAATATAATTGTCTGTGAGATTACGTCTACTGATTTGAAAGAGTGACGAATCAAGGTGCGATTCAAACTATAAAAACTAAAAGTATACAAAATAAAATTTAATACTATTGCCGTAAGTTCATCACTTGAGACCCATTCCCGGAGGAACGTCGACCGCACAAAGACTACATAATTTATCAATCATTTATCTTCGCGCTATGACGCGCTAGGTCTCCGAAGAATATTATATCCTGAATATTACTTATAGAATACTAAAAAATATTTTAAACGATATCTTAATTATGAACATTTATAAAAATCTGTAATTTATTCGATAGGGTAATCAATTAATTAAATACTTTTTACAGTTGAAAACGACCCGACATCAGAAATACCTTATAGAAGCCGTAACAGGGGGAATAAAAATGATAAGCGCCCCTAAAATCTAAGTCAAATCTGTTGCACTAGCGCCATCTGTTCATAGTAAATAATTAATGAAATCCCTTATAAGTTCATTTTTAATTTTTCTTCGCGTATTCAACATTTAATTAAAGATCAATACTATAAACACACGCAAAGAGAATGTCTTATTGTAAAATGAAAGTAGTTGCAGTACTTAAAACTGAAAATACCGGAATAAAGGACTTTGATATAAATGCTTATGCTTGTGAAGGTTGTATTATTTTCAGTAGAAGCCTTCCAAATCCTTAAAGCTTGATGGTTTGCGTTCCTATATGAATATTTCAAATAGCCTGAAACATTATAATTTTCATAAAAGCTTAATTTTGTGTATATTCTGTAGTTCATGCAGGTAGTAAACTTTAAAAACACTTTTAACGGTTTGAAACTTTTAATTACGACCCGAGGTTGCCAAGTAAAGTATCCCAAATTTCAAGCCGTTGTTAAAAATGAATTAACTAACATATTTCACATTTTAAACCGCTAAGAGTGTTTCATTACAGTAATAATCTCATTTTAAGCATGATTTAAATCTACAACCTCTGAGTAGTCAACGAAGCTCCACACAGCAACAATTCGTCCAAGAGTTTTATTAATTAAATATTAAAGCAAATAATTTAAATTTTGTCTATAGTTTACGCGAGTAGTACACATTTGAATAAAACACTTTAACGGTTTAAAACGCGATATATTAGTTAAACTTATTATCCCCGTGACCACGGCTGCTGCAAAGCATCCGAAACGTTGGGCCGAAGTTAAAAATCATTTTCAAATAAGTTTAACTAATATATCGCGTTTTAAACCGTTAAAGTGTTTTATTTAAATTTAAATTTGGATATTTTTACTGTACGTTGCAACTAATGTCTCACGAAGATGTTCCTTAGTTTAAAATCTTAATGAATAAAATGACATATTGACCAAGTAGCTTCTATACCTCATATATACGCATAACATTAATATTTGACGCACTCGCTGATGTAATAGTACCTACCAATGCACAGCTAATATTCGACTGCTCGTGGTTGCAATTCCCACCTTGTTCAAAATTTTTCCAATCAATTTATGAAATATTATAAATTGATTGGAACTACGTCTGGAAATCTGGATATTGAATGGGCGTTAGGCATATCGAAATTCCCGAACCACCGTCCACAGATAAAAGAGCCGTTAAGTTTCAGCCTGTGGATTTCCGAATATCCAAAGTCAAAGTAGGTGGACAGCGGATCTTGTTTAGATGCTGCAGGCATGTATTTCACCAATCAAGTGAACTCCAAGCTTGTCTGCTCTCCTTTATCATTAAAAAATATATAAATTACCACCCTTCGCTCTGTCCTCTGACAGAGCAAAAAAGGTTAAAAATAATCTCCCAAAACACTCGTTACATCATTCATTTGGAGCGAATGAAAACAAAACTCGTTCGTCCGTGGCGCGCATTAATCTTGCGACCGGATTAGGGTCTGCAATCTCCTCCGTGGAGCAGAGATCAGCTGTCATTAATACTTTGCTGTCACCTCTTGACAGATCGTCCGCGCTTACGGCGAGACGTGATGCTGGGAAAGCTTCGGGCTCCATCATTCATAGCCGCAAATTGAATTGGCAACGCAGAAACGTTCGTTTCTTCAAAGTGTCGGTCCCAATTGTTACATTGGAAGTGAATATAGAACTATTTGAAACGGGAGCTGTTTGGCTAATTTAGTAGGTAAATTAAAAATCGATAATATATTTTAAAAAACACGTCATCGTCCATTTTTCATCATTGATATTTTTTTCAACTTTATAATCGATTTTTAATTTATATAGTGCCATCACACGCAGTAAGTTTACTAGAGCACTACACGTTTAAATAAAACACTTTTAACGGCTTTAAACGCAAGAGATATCATTATTATCTTTTTTATTTATCCCCATTACGGCTTGACGTTTCGAATGTTTTGGAGCAGTCGTCGAGGGACCACGGCTAATACTTTTTAGGTTAGGAAGAAAGTATTTCTTATCATAATAATAAACTGCCTTAAAATATGTAGTTGTCTAATTAAAGGTCAAAAAGGTCGAAAACATGACGTATCCAAAATAATCATAACAATTGGCAATTAACGAAGTTGCAATAGTAGAAGTAAAAATATTAAGACGATGTGATGAAAGCCAACATACGTTGTATTGTACATTACGTGTACAGACAAATTGTATATACAAAATATGTATCTACACCCACTTAATGGACCCAGGTCTTCTCTTCTATAAATGGTGTTTTAAGAGCCACCACTCCCCTCAGTAACGACAATCGAAATCAATGATTTAATGGTGAAGAGACTTTCGGCTTCTAAACTCTGGCTGGATTAAAAAATACCGAAGACACATTTCCCCCAAACCCAGTATTTGAAATCCGGAACCTCGTTGTTTGTACACTGTGGAGTTATCTAAACGAGTGCACTAACATATTTTTATCTACTGAGTTACTAAAAATGTTACCTGAGTCCTGGTATATCCGAAACTGGTACTCCATCCTCAGTGAGCCAGGTGATGGCTGGAGGTGGGTTCCCGTGGGCTGCGCAAAGCACCCTGGCTCCTGTGCTGTTGGAGAATGAGAGTCGCGGAGGCGGCTCCATCAGGAAGATCAGCTGACTCGTAGTTGGCACTAAAACAATTTTTATCTTCGTTTTAGTGTAGTCAGATTAGAAAAAGTACAAAAGCAATAAATAGATTTACTACCATGAGCCACATAAATACAAATAAACATATAAAAATTAAGACTTGCATATTAAATCAAATAGAAAAAACAAACAAACGCTTATAAAACGTCAATTTCAAAAAATTATTAATACTAGGAAATTGTATGTTTCATAAAAAATGCAATGTTTACTTTACAATCTTTAGATCGTTATAAATTAAACTAAATAGTCCTTACTCATTTATATAAAGAAAGTTATTTTTTAGAATTCAATAATGTAGACTTATACGGCTTCGTCCGCGTGGAATAATTATTTTGGGCATCATATTATTTATTTTTGCACACAACTTCCCCAGCTTATAAACGCGTCCCGTCGTCCTTGAGAGTAAATCTTTGAATATAGACATATACGGTCGCGGATATTTGTTTAGATTATTCAAAGAAGAATCATTCTACATAATTTTTGGTTTCTTAAACCGTTTTCGCAACACACAAATCACGAGTGTGAGTGACGTCACAAGCGTCTAATTGAGGTTTCCTTTGAGTCGGGTCCCAATTCGCGTGACGACTCACCTGTGAAATCGTTGTTGACGAGATAATTTGCTTCAATAGTTCCGCCCTACGAACCGTTTATCGTCACGCCAGTTCACTTTAAAACAACATATTAAGGGCAATTAAGAATTCAACAATATTTGAATGTACATACTGCTTGTTACAACTCTTTTGGCTATATTAATAATTATCTATACTAATATAATAAGGCTGAAGAGTTTGTTTATTTGTTTTAACGCGCTAATCTCAGGAACCTCTGGTTCGAATTGAAAAAAAATATGTTTGTTTTGCTTGGACCATCTTTCGAGGAGGTTTTAAGCTATAAAACATGCTGTGATGCCGCGTAAAGAAACAGAAGGAAATCTTTAAAAAAATATTATAAAATAATTTTCAAATAAGTGCAACTAATATATATCGCGTTTTAGACCGTTAAAGTGTTTTTTTTTTAATGTGCACTCCTCGCGTAAACTACTGACAAAATTTAAAATATTATTATTCATATCTTTAGGAGTCATTGGTGCGTGCGCTGCAAAAACGGTGCAAAGTACTCAAAAAATATGAATATAGAATTATTCTTTATTAAATAATATAAATACGACCACGTCAGTATGTCTTTCTTGTAAGAATAACTCACAAGAACCGTTTTTATAAAAGCAAATATCCTCGACATACTTCAAATAGCGTGTCAGGTAGTACAGAAATATGAAGCGAAATAAGCATCTAACGTATTCACGTTCAAATCGCCAACCAACAAATTGGAATGAAATTAAAATATTTCAAAGCCTTTGTTAGAAGTCGCCATTATGAAAATACCTCGGGGTCGGCATTCCGGCGCATGGCTTTGATGTCGACAACTTTTACCGTTGTGTACGCGAGTAAACTATTGTTTTGCACCGGTTACGTATCGCGTATAACATACAGGACATTTCTGCAATGGGGACGAAAGTACTTTAACAACTTTGCATTATTATTCGTACGTTAATAGAAAGTTCAGTTAACGCGCTATATCCAAAGCTAAAATAGGTCGACAGATGTTCTTTAGATGTTATATGGCTGGAGGACAGACAAGCATGGGGGGCACTTCGTGACCCCCATGCTTGTCTGTCCTTCTCTATCATAATATATTGCGCGAAGTGCTTAAAAGAGACGGCTATAATCCTTACTCCACGTTGGCTAGTAATTGATTGTGGGTTCGATCGAAAAACAAAGTCTTTTATTCGAAGCATAACGTTTTCAAATATAAACATATATCTAACATGTAGATTGGAAACCTATAAAATCTAAAATCATTTAATAAGAGCTTCCGAGTAATATAGTACGTTTTTTAAATCTATACTAATATATAAAGCTGAAAAGTTTGTATGAACGTGCTAATCTCGGCAACTAACGCAACTCGGTTGTTATGTTGGTTAGCATTTAAAGATGCTGTAGGTTATAGAACATTCTGCTGTGACTACTCGGAGCGAAGAAAGAGCGGGAAAGCGGAAAAAACGGAGAATAATTATTAATGCTTGTGGATTTCCTTTAGGTACGCTACGAAAACGGTTCAAGATACTCAATATATATACATATAGTGTCAGCGATTTTTTAAATTAAAATATTGATTCGGTTATCGATGTGACTCACTAAAAACAGCAAAGGCATTTATTATTATGAATTACATAATAAATGACTTTAGGAACAGCCCATAAAAACAATATTGGACACCTGTCTTCCAGTGTCTATTAAAATTAGCCGTATTACAGTTTATGAGGCACTTTTTACAGTGTCGTAAATCGAACTAAGTCTTCAGTGAGTCGGCGGGCGTAAAATCCGTTTTATTAGGTTCCGCCGTCATGCGAGATATTAAGTTCCCCGGATACGCCCCGCTGCGTTTTAATTATGATATTGACATTAATGAAAAATGTAGACATTATTGATATATGGATAGACATAAAAAATAACCGAAATACTATTATATATAACTTTTTTTAAGTGAAATCTAATACTTACCACCTCCGTTGTGTTTTTTTTTTTGTAATGGTTAAAAAAATCTTTTATCAGGACACAATACATGGGATGGCACAGAAGTCCAATCAACTACTTGCTTGTAAATATAACCAATTAGTGAAACAGACACATAAATGTGTCCACGGGATTTCACTTCCATTACAAATATAGAAAAACGTACATCGTTAATATCTGCCAGCACTACCAGAGTACGACCTGTATTGTTTGACGTAAGTAATCATTACAAATGTCTCAGTGTGACGTGATTTTTCAATGTCCGTTTCACACCTTATTGGACGTTATTTATTCTTTAATTTAAATACTGTCTGTAGTTTACGCGAAACACTTTATCGGTTTACAACTCGATTATAATAGTTTAACTTAAAAATTATGATACTACGGCCCGACGTTTCAGACGTTTAACTAAGATATATCGCGTTTTTAATCGTTAGAGTGTTTTATTTAGATATTTTCGATTTATAGTCATTAAAAGGTTGTGTCCTGAATTCTTAATTCTTTAAAGTCTTTAAAATAAACAAGCTAGAATCAAATACCCATCCAATGGATATTAAAATAAAAAAATAGCTGTAAGCTCTACCACTGATGGTGCTTAAAGAGAATTCGTAGCGTCTTTTGGTAGAAATAGTTGCAAATTCAATCTGAACCCGTGTCGTGTACCCTCGAGTGCATCGAGACGATTCCATTATGTGGAATTGTTGCCTTGCTGCTTCCGAGTGACGTCACGTCCTACCCCACTTAGCGTTGACTCCGCCGCTTAAACTATTTATTGGATCACGCCGCTGTCTTTACTCTAGAACTAGAGCGTCTTTAATATGAGGCTGCTAGGAGCAGAGTATTGAAAATCCTGTTTTATGTTAATAACACTGAGGGAAATAAAAATGCAGTAAAGTGAAATGTAAATGTAATTATGTTCGTAAATACTATTCTTTTTTTTTACTTTGTAAAGATATCGAGGTCTCCCTTTCATCGGTCGAAAGGGACCTGGCTTAGTTATTATTCATTACTACTTATAACTATAATATATTCTAACGTTCTTCTTCTCTTCTTTTATAATACTATAACACTCGAACAGTACTCGTACTCTACTAGATTTCCTAATACACATTATTGCATATGAGGTTGTATATAAACTATTAAATAAACAGTAACCAAGTATTATTGAGGTCATTAGAAGCTAAGGGCTTTTAAGCGCCTATGTTCCCAAGTTATCCTACTCAAGTTGAATGAAATTTTTCCTCACTTTGCTGAAGTTTAAAATTCCATTTTAAGTAATTACTTAGAAGTTAAGAACCACATGAACTAAATAAATATTTTAAGAGGTTAGATAGTTAAGTAGTTAAATGACTTAACTTTTATTTGACATCACAAAAACTTCTAGATGATGAAACCTCAGGAAAATACACGTTACACACGTTACAGGGAGTGACCTACGTTCGGGTCCCTAATGATAATTTAATCTTTCTTTAAATACTGTCTGTAGTTTCCGTACACATTTAAATAAATCATTTTAACCGTTTTAAACGCGATGTGTTCTATTAAACTTGTTTGAAAATTATTTTTAACTACGGCCCGATTCGGATACTGCAGCAATGGTCACAGCGAGACTAAAGATCGAATGTCTCTGACGTCAAAACTGTTACTATTAGGCAAGTGAAACCAACTGCGGCGGAACAGTGGAAGTTTAATTTTTATTTACTAATTTAATCGAAACAAACTGTTTATAAGCCAGTTGTAGTGAGTTTATTTATTTATCGTGATATACCTTGATGTACAAATAAAAAGACGGCTAGTTGATTCGGTGGGAATCGATCCCATTCGAACCAAACCCGTGAACCAATGATTGGTTTGAATGGGATCCATTCCCACCGGGTCATGGTTAAAAAAAATTTTCAGCACGGGACATTTTACATTACCCATCTGATATTTACGAACAATCAGAGGTTAGTAAGAATATCAATATATCGTCGACGGATGGAATTGTAACCTTTGGCTTGTGGCTGTTGATTTTCGAATGTCCAAAACCGAATCGGCTGACAGCGCATTTTAATCGTCTAGAACTACCCGATTTTGTTTGTGGCGTTCCACATTCCATCAAACCCCAATACTATCCGCCCAGCTCTTCGATAAAAATAAAATAAATGAACATCAGTAAATAAAAACAGAGGTCGCTAGCGTCGTGTCTAGCCGGAAACGGAAGGGAAATGCGGGCGCACAGGTAATACTCACCGAACAAAAGAAAGCATTGTTTTCTTTTGTACGACACTGATTATTACGCTCGTTTTAATGTCTGAAATGAAACTGTAATGTTTGTTGGGTTTTTGTCGGATTAATCCATGTCCGATGTTACCCTTCCAAAGAAAGAAGGCTTATTTTGGTAATTTTAATCTTACATATATTATTTTATGCAAGATATTGATTCAGGGCCTGTTTTATTTTTGGTTTTAAGAACATTATTATAATGTTTGATTTGTTTTGACTTTGAAGTCCTGTTTTTTAATATAAATGTTAAAGTCCTAAACATTTTTTTTTAAGAAAGTATATGTAAAAATATTTTTTTTTTTTGATTTAAAGCAACTTCTGAAATCATTTATTTGGATTCAGTCTATTGTATAAAGTTATTTAAAATTGTATTAATCATAACTAACTTATAAATAAATTTATATGCTATATATTGGATTTCAATTTCATATAGATTATGTTTCTTAAGATATATTTCGTTTTGTTATTGTTATAATATGATTACCATGTGTTCATTGTTTTTAATGTGATTTAATAAACAAAAATTAAATGTCAATTTTTAAAAGAAAACCTTTACAAGTATATTCTAGGGATTCAGTCCATTTAATAAATGTATTAATTTTAAGTAACTTAAAAATAAATTTGATACTTAATGGATAAAAATTAGGTTGACAGCACATTTTGTCAGTTGTTAGGACGAAGTGAATCCAATACTTGTCTGTTCTTCTCATTATATATATATATATATATATATATATATATATATATATATATATATATATATATATATATATATGAAGAAATTATATCATAACAATTCAGAGCAACTAATAAACATATTGTACTACTACTAAAGCAATTCTAATAATAATAATTCCTATGAAAAAAAAATTAAGATAATAAAAGAAAAATATGAACCACTAAAGAGTAAACAAAAAAAACTTATTATTCACTATAGAATATATGGCTGCACAATATTAAACTAAAATAGCTCAAATATCAAGACGTGTTGTTTTTGCTATGTTAAGTGTCCATTCACAGAAAGATATTTTATTGACAAAAAATAATTTCACTATAGAACACTTTTGGTTTTAAACGCGAAATATATCCTAAATTAACAAGATTTCGCATTTCGCGTTTGTAAGTCCTTATATATATTCTATACAGAATAAAATTAACCTTATATAAAGCAGTAAACGCCAGTCAGAAGCTGACAGTAGGAGAGTCGGGAGGCCTTCAAGTATGGCATTAGCATTGCAAACGGGATGTTTCTGTGCCATGCTAATATGCGCTACTCTGGGTATACCTCGTATAACCAAACCGACATCTTTAATATCACATAAATTAATCTGAAAGACCATTACGAATTGAAGTGACCAATACGGAACATCGTCGAGAATCCTTTAACGGTTTCAAATGTGAAATATATTCTTTGTTTATTTAAACGCGTTAATCTAAGGAAATACTGTAAAAATATTTAAGTTTTAGAGATCGAGGAAAGCTTAAAGTTTTATAACATCACGTTGCGATCGATAGGAGTGGAGAAACATTGGAATATGTGGAAAATGCGGAAAAATATTCCTCTTTCAAGGTTGTCGTTGCGTGCGTCTTTCTTGTGTAAATAACATCAGTGCAACAGTATATTTATTACCGGCATCGTCAGCTTTCCAGCAGAGCAACAGCACGGAAAGCTGACGATGCCGGTTCAAGTCCTGCCCGAGTCGAAATTTTTTTAAATTTATTTTCGATTTTTTAATTATATAGTACCATCATGTGCATAATAACATGTGAAAAATATTAATGTTTTCAAAGTATATTTATTTTTTAAGAATTACTCACAAGAACAAAACAAAAACAATAAAACAATATTTTCTTTAACCTTTATTGTGTTTGTTTTGCGTCAAACTACATACCAATACGGTAGTCATATTCGTACCTGTAATATAAATTTATCAAACATGAAAATTAATAATGTTGAAGCAGATAATATGTGATTTTAAATTTGTATTTTTGTAGTTGTATGCTGAAAACAGTCCTATAACATTTAGTTTAACTCGATTAACATGAGGAACCTTTTTGGCTTCGGATGGGCGTTACCCGTATGGAATTTCATTACTCCAATAATTGAATGAGAACATTATTTAAAGGTATCCAACACAAAACAGATACTTTTTAAAAAGACTAACTGTGTCAGCGGCTTTCTTCGCGTAGAACATTTATTTTAGGCATCCGAATTTGTTTCATCTTTATAAATTTAAGCTTTTACACGCTACCCGCGACATCGGTCGCTTGCCGTCGTTCTTGCAAGTTAACCTTAAGGATAGACATATACTGTCGCAAACATTTTCTTAGTTAGTTATTGAAGAATCATTATTTATACATATGTTTTTTGGTATCTTGAATCGTTTTCGCATCGACTCGAAACTCGAGTCGACGAATCATCGATGAATAAATTTTCCCATTTTCCCCACATATCCCGCTGTTTCGCTCCTGTTAGGCACAGCGCGGTATTTTATAGCATTCCTCAATAAAAAAAACAATTCAACAGTTCCTGAGATTAGCGCGTTCAAACAAACAAACTTTTCAGCTTTATATATTAATATATACAGAAACCCATTCCTTTGCCACCAAGAACCCCCTTGTTTGTTTAGAATACACTTGTACTATTAGACTAACGATCACGTAAATAAATATATATCGTATATCCTATAATAATATTCTTGTATGCATTATCCATGCATGCAAGAATATTTATAATAATAATAATATTATAGTCTATAGCAATAATGTTGAAATACTGAAACTATTTGTCCTAGGTCGGTTTACAGTTAATATTGGAACTGGCTGTGTATACAAGCTGTGAACAATGTTTTATTTGTAATTCAGGAGCCACTGGCAGGAAATTAAGCTTCTTCGGCTGCTGAGGGGGGTGGGAGGAAACGGGTTAAAGGGGGATCAGAAACGGACACTGTCTGACTGCAACGAAGGTCTTAACAGTGAATTAGCCAATTGTAATTCTAGATGAGAACAAGGAAACAATTGTAATGAATTGAATAAAGGTATTTTAAAAACTTTATTATTTTTTACATGTTATTGCATATGAAGGCACTATATAATTTAAAAATCGAAATAAATTGAAAAATTTTCGACTCGGAAGCTCAATTGGTAGAGCAACAGCACGGAACGCTGACGATGCTGGTTCATGCCCTGCCCTAGTCGAATTTTTTTTTCATTTTATTTTAGATTTTTAAATTATAAACGTTATTTTATTCAATTAAAAAATGTTGGATTTGTACAAGACTCCAGGGTTTTTATTTTATTTTACAGTGCATTGATATCGAAGTTATAAGCAAACAATAAGGTTGTTTAGCTGTGAAAGAACAAACTAACAGTCATTCTATGTTAAATTTACTTTACTTTATATTCAAGTCAAATACAAATAATAAAAAAAACAATGTTGATAATTGAAAAGCGACCATAATATTTTTTTCTATAAAGGCTCATAAATATTTATTTAAAAAAAAGCATAGAAGAACAAAAATTCTTGCATTTTTAAATCTTAATTAAAGGGGCTGCTAGCATAGGACTTGAAATTTACAAAAAAAAAATAGCTGTGAGAATTATCATTACACTAAATTCTGAAACTATGTAAATATTGGAATTATAAAGGGCTTAGTATAATCCTAGCTTGTCTCGAAAACTTCTACTATACCCAGCAATCTGGAAACTAATATATTTACTGAATAACTCCCTATACGACGAATTTTCAACACATTCACGACACATGGGTTACGTCATCAACGACACCAAAATCTATACAATTAAAACTCCATGTTAAAACTCACGAGATGAGTGAATATTGTAACATTAATATTTTCTTTTATTGCACATGAAGCAATGTGTAATTTAAAAATGTAAATAAATTGAAAAATTTTTCACTCGGGCCGGGATTGGACCCCCCCCCGCGGTCAGCTTTGCTCTACCAAACTTATTTACACCTTATAATTTTTTTATTTCTATTAAGGCTCATTCTTACAGCTTCAAGAATCATTGAAGATTGAGTGAATATTGTATTTGTAATTTACTAATATAAACTTATTTACAAATTATTTTTTTACTTTCTAAGTCGTTACAAGTTCTTAAATTGTGTACTACTCGTATAAACTACAAACAGTACTCATTTTCAAATAGTTAAGTTAAATTTGTTTTACAATATTAAATGAGTTTTACCTTATTAATAGCGCATTGAAAAAATCTCGCTATCTGAAGCTCCCCCGAACGTTCGCTTCTCAAACTTGCCCCGCGAAGATAAAGACGATATGAAATTTTTCCCGCGTAATTATAAACTAGCTGAGTCTTCGGGTGTTGGAACTTTTAATTAACTCAGTAGTTCGGTACAATCGAAGTAATGACGCGAACTTCAAATCTCTCCTCAACTTTTGCGACGGATAAATTTTACAGGAGCGGAACTATTATCACGATCTTAATCATTCAATGAAAGCTCAAATATATTTAATAATAAATTAGTTATGCGTTATAGCAAATTTCCAGGACGCACTTACATAATCGTCATTAAAACATCGAAAACGTACTCTTTTTGAAATAAAACTCTTTTAATTGCTTAAAACGTAACGTA